ACAAAAACCCCCCCCCCCCCCCCCCCCAAAAGAACTTAAAATGGCATTTTCCCCACTCTGACAAACCTTTCAAGCAACAGAAGACTGTCTAGAACTTCTGTAGGGCTGGAGAGCAGCCTGCAGCTACAAGATTTCAAGATTTATTTGTTTTAAAACTTATCAACTGCTGCTGCTGGACAATTAGCACATTTGTAACACTGCTAAGGACATAAGGTTTCAATACAGTGGCATTTTGGGGCAGGCAGTATATATTTACAGGGGAAATATACATCAAACATGAAGTACTTTTATCTTACCTAAAATGATTCCTTGAAAAACAACTTATGCTTTTAAAGGCCAATACAATTATGTATTATTTTAATCTTAATGCTAAAGGAAGACAGAAAAAAGCATATTTACAATGTTAACACTGCAGTTAAGAGAACTTTGTATTGCTATCCAATTACGTTGTCTGCCCAGCTTTTGGACCTATATAAAAAACCGCAACATTAATGTTACACACTTGTCAGGTGGGCATAACCACCATCCATAGCTACATCAGAATAAACCAAGTTATAGGGATATAGCTTAACAGTAAAAGACTATTGACGTAGTACGTACCACACAGCAGTACCATGATGTGGTTCATACTTGTAACAAAACACCTCAAGGCACTCAGCATATCTTCTTCTCACCACCTATAGTAAAAGATGCTCCAAATCTGAAGGAATCGGCAAGCACTGTTGTCAACCGCCCTGCTGAGAGGTAGGGTATCTTGTGTTTTCCTCTTCAAGGACACGAAATGAGGTGAACATTCAATAAGGCACGCCCTGAGTGCCACCTTGAGATCAAAGACCAGAAGACAGCCAGCACCTCTCCCTCCCCAGCAAGTTTCAGTCCCCGTGTCCAGGCAGTCTTGCATTGGCTTGGATTTGAGAGGGGAACATCGCTGGACCCCACATCACTACAGTTCACATCTGGAGAGTTTACATACCTGTAACCCTCAAATTATGCTGTACTGCAATGTTTTCTAATCAAACAATTTGATACCCAATTTATCAAAGTAAAGGAAGTCATTTGTTTTCTTTTTCACTGAACCGTGGTGAAAAAAGGTTACTGTTTTATTCAGCATCATAGTTACATAACAGTTGTCTGTTTCTATTACTAGAAAGAATTTATTAAAATAGTCCTGAAAGATACTTTTTCTTTCTCCAATGATTTCAAAACTATGCCTTTTAATGCCAATTCCACACAGTCACGGGTTTGATTGGTAGTAGTCACTTATAGCAATTGTCAAGGCACAAGCTCAGCTCTGCACATCCGCTGCAGCTTGTATTATAAAAGAGATATGCCAGTTACGTCTTCACTTAAAAATGCATAATCCCTTTATCATATATTGCAACAGGAGAAATTAACGTTAAACACAGACTATGAAAGGTAAAGGATTTATTTCTGATATGATTTGTAGAGTTAAATTAAAAACCTACGGAATACTTTATGTAGTAGATGAACATAACCTTAGTACTTACTTTCTAACAGTTTATTTAATGGTTGGAAGTGTACAACATGAAGTAGGCCTTACGTTTAATATTGTTCAATTTTGCTTATTGTTAGATGAGATTAAAATACAGTAGCCATCCCTTTAGATTATGTTGCAACACTGATCATGTGCCTTGATAAGTAGGAACAACGATTCATTAAATAAACAGTGATGACATAACATGTAGGGAAGACTTTGGATTGTCTATTTAAAATGTCAACATAATAGGCAATTAAGAATAAAACTTCATTTTAAGTGCACTTCCACATGCTTTGTTTATAATATAGCAAAAACTTCCTATCTTTTTTCCAAACACTTCACTCCCTACTCTAAAGCTGTTCAGTTGAAAATGCACTTTCCCAAGTAAACTTTTTTAAAAAAAGTAACTAAAATTTCTACCCTTTCATATGCTAAGAAATGTTTCCTAATTAAAAACACAGTTTATTACAAGACATGTGAAGACAACATATAGTGAAATGAATTTTAATTGTTGTGCTGTGACTAAAGTAAAGTTCTCAAGGCTGCAATTTAACATTCCAAGTTCTCCCTTCCATCTTTATTGATTCTTAAGGTTTTGCACAGAAACTCTTTGGGGGCTAGAACAGCAGTAATTGCATCACACTGGTTTCCAAGACTTCAAGTTTCAAAAGCAAACTCTTCAAAAAGTACAGTTCTTGATTTGATTAGATACAGGGACAAAAATATAGCACATACTTGAAGGTTACATGGTCTACAAATGATGGCAATATTTTCCTTGGGAGAGTACAGTTTGTTTTCTTGTAAATACTCAAAAAGGCTCAACTTCAAGCAGTAATAAACACAAGCAAAAGTGATTTAACCCTTAAAATAAATATTCAGGAAAACCTCTCTGTACATACAAGTGAAAGAATATGTAACACTTTCACGCTAAAAGAAAAAAAATAAAGATTTTGTTCATATAAGCAGCTGAAATCTGCTGTTCCAGCCCAATGTCCCCAGTAAAGAAGGGAGGCACAAACACAGGTGACTACTGTAGCTCACTATCTTATGGCCTTTTTGGACAGGGACATCATCACCATCATTTTTTTAATCCCTTTTGTTATATTTATTACAGCATGCCAAATCCTTTGGCATATGTGATGGCCTTCAATAATCTTTCTTTAAGCTTTTCTTTGCTTGAGTACTCCGGAAGCAAAAGTACATTAAAGCATGTGTGAGATGTAGGTAACCTGTGGGGTGGGGGAAAAAAAAAAAAAAAAAAAAAGAATTCAGATCTGGGAACATGCAGTACACGCAAAGAAATAAGTCGTTACTTCACAAATCTAAAATAATGAATTTAAAGAGAATCTACTTTGCTTAAAGATTCAACTTTCAGATTTAACTAAGCTAACAAATTAAAAGCACAGAATTTGCTTCCATTTATAAACAAACAAGCAAAATGTAGATTTTTTATTTTTTTTTTTATTTACCTCTCTGTATCTGGGCCATTTTTGGCTATGATCATCTTTAACTTTCCAAGTCCTCCCACAGGGGCTCTGTCTGTGCCTGTTGTAAACTGTAAGAATAGTCTTTTCTGTTCATCTGTAAATGAATGGACTATTTCCCAGAATTCCCTATCAAGGACAAAATCAAAAAGTAAGTAAACTGAAAACGTTGGTATAAGTGAGACTTTCAAAAGTAACTGAACTTTGAAGGTTTAGTAATCCAATCAATCTCAATGTCAAGTTTACAAGTTGCATTCATAAACCAAAACTAACAGTAATGTATTTACCAATCGATGAGATACAAAAGTAGAAATCAGAAATGTTACCAAAACACTGCAGTTTAACTGTTTTTAAATGTTAACTTTGGCTAACAGGTGATCTTCAAATATTCTTCCTTTATTTTATTATTCCTGTTTCCTAAGGAATTATACTGGTTCCACTACACTGTCCATTTCTACCACCTTCTTAACACACCACAGTAAACAAATGCAGCTGCTGTCAAAGGTTTTCTACCCTAGCAGGAACTAGTTAAGTAGTTAGCAAAGTTCAGATGACCAAAGATGCACGCTTCTCTGACCCTTGCCTTCAGAGTTCTCTAGTCAAAGGGGACAAGAAGGTAAAAACATTAAAAACATTGAATTTACTTGATTTCTAATTGGAGAAGAAAGTTCTACACATGCAACCTATTAAAAAAATCAGTGTGTTTTGTTTTTTTTTTTTAAACAACAGCAGAGCAGTGGTGATTTATTGAAACAGCCTTGTTTATGATAGGGATTATTTAACTATATGGTATAAGAGAAGGACAAAAAAACGTAGGGAAGAAAATCCCTTTTAACCTTTACCAAAGTTCACTGGAAGCTAAAGACAATGCTTATACTATCTGCTCTTTTCTAATGACAGTACTTGAGTCAACTGAAATGATACGTAAGACACTTGCATCTCCAAGCACTAAAATAATACTACATCTTACAATATTAAATTCATTATGAAGGAAGAGGCATGTAAAGTGTTTTTAATCTTTCAGAAATTAGAAAAAAATTACCTAATAATAAGAGAGTCTCTTGTATAGCCACCATCATATTCTGTAGTTTCTTCTAGTGCTTGAAAATCTAAATTCTGTAAAGAAGACGACATTTTTAAAAGTGACCACTAATTATATACTTAGGATCAAAAAGCTCCACTTTCTGGTGTACATTCAGGGCTCTTACCCTACTTCCACAAATAAGTAATTCAATTTCCTCTGGTCTAAATAAATATTTCAAAGGAGATTCATTGGTCACCATGTGGAATCCTCTCCGAAAGGCCTTGAACTGCTTTTCTACTGATTTATTGAGTATATAGTCAGCATACAGATTGACAAATTCCTGTAAGGAAACAATCCCAAAAAAACCCTTAGTACTTCAACACATGCCACTTGAAGTATGTCCCAAAAATACAAGACCCTGAAATATATTTAATTCTATAATTTTACGTAGATTATCTGGGCTCAGCTTCTACTCAGCAATAATGAAGAGTAAGTCTCAAATATTTCTCAAGCAGGTCAAACACCACACACAGAAGCTACGTGTGCATGTATCGATGCTTTTGTTAAGAAAGAAACCTTTTCTGCTTACAACTACACTGTGCTATAGCAATTTTAAAAGGCTTTTAAACTTAAATTGTGAGACCAAACCTTTATAGAGTGATACGTAATTCTGCATAGAGTATCTAAAAATTACAATTACATTAAAAAAAATTACTTGAGCGTACCTTTCTATTTTCATTTGTAATAGGAATTTTATCACCATTTTCCTTTAAATCATGCATCATTGGATTGCCAAAGAGATCCGTATGAGATATTTGAAATGTTATCATCATATCATCTTCCACACTTCCTTCATACTCTAGTAAGTCTCTCAAACTCTGGTAAAGAACCTAACAGAATAAGAAATACATGTCTGTCATAAATAAGTTTCAACAGATTTCACTGAGTCATGAAATCATCTGCCTCAAAAAAGGTTGTTACATTCTATGACACAAGTCACCTAAGATCTCCCATAACACTCCAAACAAAGGTATATTGAGCTCAGTGTTTGTAAAAAACAACCAATAGCAGATATTAAGGAAAGATAAAAAAGAAACATGGCAATGAATGATAACTCCCTTAGAAGGGCCTATCAATGCCCAGGAATCTTCCTAAATGCAATGGTCAGACCTGTAGCTTAAGAGCCACTGATTACATCTGTTGGTGGTGAGGGCCGGTGAACACCCTATCCTCCATGCTCTATAGCATTAGAAAAAGCATCGGGAGGCTTGACTACTGCAGATTTCATTTTTGTTTTGAGAAGCTCTGAAGTAAGTGTTTAAGTGATATTAGAGTACAAAGAGTTTAAAAAGGATTACTTTAAAAGAAGTCAGTGTAGGTGTCAGAGGAGAAACATAAGAGTAGGGGAGCAAAAATAAGAAGTGCCCTGACTGCCTTGTTCCACAGAAATAAATTCACTTTTTCTGTCATAAAAAGTTTTGACTATGTAATAAAAAATTACAGGAAACTGGGAGCACTGTGTATTTCTCAACATCACTTTACAGAGAAACTGGTCAAAGCTGGCATGCTGTTGTATGTAACCATCCAAAGCAGACCGGATAACCTATTTTTTGATTACTTATGCCTCATTTTCTGATTAAACAAAAATAAAAGGCAAGTTCTTTTTAAACAGTATCATTTTACTCATCTTTTTTGAATAGCTGAAGATTTTGCATAACTGCTTATGAAAAGGGAAATGTCCCACCATTTGAAACCATGGAATCACAGAATGGTTTGGGTTGGAAGGGACCTTTAAAGATTGCCAAGTTCTGACTCCCCCTGCCATGGGCAGGGACACCTTCTACTAAACCAGGTTGCCCAAAGCCCCGTCCAACCTGGCCTTGAACACTTCCAGGGATGGGGCATCCACAACTTCCCTGGGCAACTTGCTCCAGTGCCTCACCACCCTCACAATGAAGAATTTCTTCCTTACATCTAATCTAAATCTACCCTCTTTGAGTTTAAAGCCATTACCCCATGTCCTATCACTACCTGACCTTGTAAAAAAGTCCCTCTCTGGCTTCCTTGCAGTACCCTTTAGGTACTGGAAGGCCACTATAAGGTCTCCCTGGAACCTTCCCTTCTCCAGGCTGAACAACCCCAACTCTCTCAGCCTGTCTTCATAGGAAAGGTGTTCCAGCCCTCTGATCATTTTTGTGGCCCTCCTCTGGACTCACTCCAACAGGTCTGTGAACTTCTTATGTTGGGGGTCCCCAACATGCCAGACACAGTACTGCAGGTGGGGTCTCACGAGAGCGGAGCAGAGGGGGAGGATCACCTCCCAGTCACGCTTCTTTTGATGCAGCTCAGGATATGGTTGGCTTTCTGGGCTGTGAGTGCACGTTGCTGGGTCACATTGAGCTTCCTCGTCAACCAACACCCCCAAGTCCTTCTCCTCAGGGATGCTCTCAATCCACGCATCCCCCAGCCTGTATTTGTGCTTGGGATTGCCCTGACCCATGGACAGGACACCTTGCACTTGGCCTTGTTGAACTGGAAATGAAGCATACTAATAACTCATACTAGCTAGCATGATGGAAGGCTACTGATGATCTTTGAAGATGGAGCATGGCCAACACATCCTGCATACATACTTCTATGCTCTATCTACTAAAGCATGAGCACAGCTTAGTGTTTTTGTATAGCCATGAACTGGGGAGAGGTGGGGGAAGATGAACACTCATCACTGCTCCCAAACTGTAGGGATCTTCATGAACTGCCTCATCTATCTTTTGCTTTAGACAAAAACCAATGAGTATCACACCTTTGCATGCCTACTGTTACTTTCACATTTTTTGTAGAAATCTAATTCTACAAATAGATATAAACAGCCTAATTTTAGAAGTCTCTTTGGGAAGATACTATTAATAATAGTTTATGCTTAATGGTATTAAGCAATTTAGGCAGTATGTAAAAAATATACAACAAAGCTTTATTGGTACCCGACTCTATTTGTTGACTTGACAATTCTGCCTCCTCCAAACCAGATGTACTAAGAGGTTTTATTGCTTATGATTTTAACAAATACAGACTCTTCACACAAGTCGCTGGTTATGTCACTTCCACTTCTGACAGTAGTCTTGTGTTTAATTTAAATCTAGATTAAGTTATTGCATGGAAAATGCATTAATAAACTCAAAGAACATAATGAACTTACAGGATGAGAGTCTGCCAGATCTCGGAAAGTTCCTTTTTTGCCCATTAGCTTCCTGTAGACAACCATGGGAAAATGTACATCCAGTATACAGTTATTGTAAATAGCCAGACCCAGTACTATGCCAATCAGTGTAAACTGACCCTCAGTTTCAAAAGAGGATGGATTAAACCAAAACAGTTTTGTAGATTCATCATATGTGAACATCCCTGTAAAAAAATGATGAACAATTATGGTTACATTTCAATAAAAATTACATGTAAAACATACCATTATAAACCCATTTGCATTATAATGCCTCTAAAGGGTGTTTAACTTAACATTACACTGAATTTAATGGCAAAGAGAAGCTACTTACCTTAGGGTAACTGGAGCTGCTCAAAATACTGTTACTCACATTACCACTAAAAGTATGCAGGAGACCTGTGATACAACATCCTGCAATGCCACTGAAGCTGTACGTACACAACCTTTCATCCCCTTCCATTACTGAGGAAGCAGCAGCACATTGTCAACACAGATTGTATCTTTGATTAATACAACAGTGCAAGAAAAGAACACCATCAAAAAACATGTGGTGAAATAATCCTGAAGAACTCCAATTACTATGAAGTGATAGCCTTTCCTCAAAGGCTTTTCTCGGCCAGTTCCAGCAAAGGAACAGGACTAGATGCAGCCCTATTATTAAACTGGAAGCTATGACGATGGAGCTGGGATTAACTATCACATATGATCTTAGATGCTCAACAGATTTTTTTTTTTTTTAAAGGTACTCAATAAGGTCCACTGTTGCTGCACCTATCACATACATTCTAACTTGAGGGGAAAATGTAACATGGGACTGTTGTTTCACAGGAGGGGTTGCAATTTTAACAGCTTGTCATTCTTGAAAGGGAGAGGTTTTGCTTTGTTCCCCTATCCCTTTGTCTGATTCAGCTCACTATTTCAGGTGACCAATCTCCTGCCAAGTTCACAAGCTGAGTATCTTCAGAGAAGGTTTCAACAAACTGCTGAACTGGCACATGCCAGGAGCTGGAGAGAGCAGATAGGACTGTACAGACAAGAAAAGGGCAAAGAGTCCCTTACCCTTTTGGCTGTAGCAAGCCACTAGATTAGCTCTTGTTTATGAAACCAGAGTTTGTGTACAGGCTACAAACTATTTAAAGTGAGTCCCACAGTTAAAATCCATTGCTTAGCTGACTAGATACTGAAGCAAGATAAATGCAAACCCCATAGACTTAAGGGGAGGGAGAGACCACCCTGGATAAGTATAGTCCCAGTGACCTGTTGCTTGTACAGCTAAGTGTCATGATTTCCAGGCATGGAAACATCATTTTAAAACATTTTAATCTTTTCATAGTAGTAGACAAGCTGCATATTAAAAGCAGCATGTCCTTGCAGGTATAAAGGCAGAAGCACAAAAGACTGGTGCAGGGAGCAAGATGGAAATGTGACTGTTAAAACACAAATACAAAACTCTGGCTCCAATATATCAAATTACTCCTAGTTCTTAGCTAACTACAATCAAATTTGACATTACTGCCACACTTTGGATCTGCACCCCTTTTAGATTAAATCATTAAAAGAACTGAGACTATCAGATTTTTTAAGCTGGAGGGAGGAAATAACTCAAAAACTCACCATAGTCCTACTCTGGTTTTTTTGCAGAAGCTCTTCCTCTTTGGTTTGTTTACTAATTCTAGAAGCTAATCACAAAGCAAAGCGAGGAGAAAGGTGAGAGAACAAACAAAGGAACCCTGCAACCCTACACTACTGATTTATATCTAAACACGTAATGGTAGCTTTCGCTAACTATACACAGTTATTCCTTTTCATCACTTCTCCTTAGGAGGATGACTGATGATGACATAGTGAGCCTCAATGGGGCAAGTACTCTCATAATCACCAAGAAATCTGGAGAGCTTCAGAGAGAAGCAGCAGCAGATATAGAAAGGCACTGCATAAACATAGAATAGCCCAGATTGGAAGGGACCTTAAAAAATCATTTGGTCCAATCTTTCATGGGAAAAATCTGATAAATTAGTAAATTATTAGAACACATACCAATATCTGGATTGAAGATTTCTTCCACGACCAGTTGAAAAAATTCTTTGGAAACACCTCCTTCATCTACCCCTTGCTCTCCTTCAAATTCAACATATAATTGCTTCTTCAAGTCTGCAGGATTTTCCATGGCAATCATCTCTAGCTATTGAGTGAATAGATAGAAGTATTTCATTAGTAAATCCGTTTACTAGAAGAGTCAATTGAGTATCAAATAATGAAATCAAAACTACCCTCCAAACCTAAGAGATCAAGTATAAATCACAACAGTAAAATATCAGAAACCAATAGTAGTGCTAAATCACTCTAAGCATGTATTAGAATTTGGGGATTAACACAGCAAGAAACTTACCACAGATCTGCTCTGTTAGCCAACTAAGTCTGTTAGCGTTCTCCATTTCTATTCTTTTAAGCACTTACTTTAAATAAGTTAGTATTGTGTTGCACAAAATTCACAGAAAACAGTATGAAAACAAGATGTATTACTGGGATAATTAAATTCATCTGACAATGAAAAGAGACTGCAATCTGATCTACATGTTTGACAATGAATGGTTTTGTGAACGGATTACACAGATATGTTTTCAGAACTTTCATGTGATAATTTACAGTGGAAGACAGAAGACAAGCCTTTGACTAGCAGCTGCATCTCGCAAACAAAGAGCTGGGGGAAAAAAAAAAAACCAGAAATAAAAAGACACTAATATTACAGTCAAATCAATCCCCTTTCCTCCTGATCCTAATGAAGAAGTCTCAGAAATCTCTTGCTCTTATTTTTTCAGTGCCTTTAAACAGATTTACTGCATTGCTTCCATGAAAGTGAAAATTCAGTTAAGGTCAAACAGAAGTTCTGACATTTCATAGGAAAGGGCTGCATGTCTATATAAAGGCCGTTACAGGTCTTTCACTTTCTTCCAACAAATATGTATCCTTTCAGTAAATCAGAAGTTATGCAGGAATATTTTGCAGCTGGTAAGAAACATACTGCTTAAAAGCGTAAACATATTGGTTAAACCTGTGCAGCACGATTACATTAAACGTACCTACATGGCAAAGAAAACTCAACTGCAGTAAAGTAAGGCACAGATGGACCTGTACATTCCTCTACCAAACCATAGTACTGGTGACATTTGCCTCTAATCCAGGCTAGCGGACACTGTACCTACCAGCAGGGGTCCTTAACACGCCGAACCTTTTTATTTCGCTACCCTACCTTACCCCCACACACGCCAACACATTCTTTATGTCCCAGAATTTTACTACACAAGTGTAAAGGAAAACAGGAACAGAACAAAGGATAAAGGCAGCAATAATGACACCATCAACCCATAAAGTGACACCACCAGTAAGATACGTTTTCTCCCGGTAACTGCCGAGTTAGCCAGCCAGCCATGTTTCAAGCAGCACAGCAGGGCTAGTTGGGTGAGAGAGCTAAGGTGGTTAGCGTAACAGGTTTGAAGACTTTGAAGCTCCTCATGTGAAACCAGCATGTGAAGACTTGCACTAACTGGTACTGAAAAACAGTATCAGGAAGAGAGAGAGTGTAACTCCGTAGCTTATAAAGCTCAGTTAAAAAAATGGAGGCAAGCCACGTAGACCCCAATAATGACAGCGAGTCAGATTAGCTGACTGAGATACATATTAAAGTACAAGATTATCTGGAAAACTTAGTTATGTACTACCTAAAGCATTTGGTATTCTATTGCATATCATTTGCAATGAACTATTTTTGCCCCAAGGAGACCAAATAACATTTATTCTTTGAAATTCACTCTATTTTATCAACAATACTTCTGCAGCAAAAAAAATGTTGCAGTTCCCCCCCATTGGTATTCTCATCACATGCTTTCCATAATAGTGTAGTTTTGCATCTTGCTTTTCATGTATATCTTAAAATTATGCATCTTACAGAAGTGTAAAAAATTTTTGTTCCTGAATAGGAGGACAATGGCATCTAAGCCACGTTCCAAATACCACCGAGACTTTTTAAATACAGAGAAGTAGCATTTATTTTAAGACCGTAAATACAGGTTATACATTCAAGCTAGCCAGACAGAAGTTCTCCTATTTGAATCCCCTCCACTTGTAACTGGCACTAACAATGCTTTGTTTTTTCTCTCCAGTCATGACTTTGTTGGCTTTGTAGTATTTACCACCAGCAATTTACTATTTTGCAAGTTTTATGAATTTTGATGAGTTCTGAGAAAGCAAGTATTGCCTCTGCCTTTCTTTTGGGACTGCAACCCTTTGTCATTGTGTAAAGGCTCTCTTGTGTCACAGAAATACACTTACACTAAGGAGAGTGCTCATATTTATACATATAAAGCAATTTAAAAAATTATTTCAAAATTATTTTTTTGGCCGAGAACTATGCTGCAATGAGTGATGTAAACAAAGAGCAGTATTAAAAAAGGGGGAAGGAAACACTCTTAGTTGAGCAATGCTGGCTGAGCAGATTGGAACAGTGCTGTCGTAGTTTAACCCCAGGCAGCAACTAAGCACCATACAGCTGCTCGCTCACTCGTCCCCACTTCTAGTGGGATGGGGAAGAGAATCAGAAAAAAAAAGTAAAACTCGGGGGTTGTGATAAGAATAATTTAATAACTAAATTAAAATATAACAACAACAATAATAAAATATACTACTACTACTAACAATAATAATATTAATAATGATGAAAAGGAATATAACAAAAAGAGAAATAAACCCCCAGAAAAAGATAAGCCATGCACAATGCAATTGCTCGACGTTCACTGACCGATGCCTGAGAAGCAATTTGCCCCTCCGGCCAACTCCCCCCAAGTTTATCTACTGAGCATGATGTGGTATGGTATGGAATATTCCTTTGGCTACTTCAGGTTAGCTGTCCTGGCCATGCTCCCTCCCAGCCTCTTGTGCACCTGCTTGCTGGCAGAGCATGGGAAACTGAAATATCCTTAGTTTAGGATAAGCATTACTTAGCAACAACTAAAACATCAGTGTGTTATCAACGTTATTCTCACACTAAATCCAAACCACAGCACTGTACCGGCTACTAGGAAGAAAGTTAAACTCTATCGCAGCTGAAACCAGGACAGGTATGCTGCATGTCTGTGAGGCAATCATACAGAGGATTACCAAAAAGGCCGTATTTTGAGTCAAAGCCTAATGTTCCTTGAAGTAGATTCTGTAACCAGGACAATGTGGCTAAGCGGCTCAACTGAAGGTTGCGGATTTAGCTGCTCCTTTGAACATCCATGTCTCAACACTGATGCTTCACAAGAAAACTGGAACTCAGTGGAAAACACAGCATTAGTCACAATGGTAGAGGCACTGCATTTTAGCAGAACTGCAGCAGTGTTTCTATAGCAAGGAAGTCTGAACTTCAGTTTAAAGTTGTTTGTTTTTATAAATAATCAGACCTGCCATGTGAACACAGATGCTGCTGGATAAACCCAATCTATGTGTGTGTAAATTCCCGAAGTTTTAGAAGCTAATATGTTTTCTATCACAATGCTTTGACTGGCCAAGCAGATGAAGTTATCATTACATTTTTCAAGGACTTCCCAAATAGCATGTGTGTAGCATGTCTGAAGCAGCAGCATCAAAAACTAAGTATGAATTGAGAAGCTGAAAGCTGAGACACGACGTTATAAAGAATACCTGCATTTTGTTGGCTGAAACATGATATTGTGGTACAGCATAAGAGACTGTATGATTTACTTTGCTTACAGAACAACGTTGTGCTTTCCTGAAAGACAGGAATCTTCCATTGGATGACAGAAATATGACAACATTTAAAAGCTTAACATAACACCAGAGTTTGGCCAACTTCTTGAAATTGATAGTAACTGAACTAATCTCTATTCATTTAAAAATTATCAAAATCCCCCTCAAGTTCTAGCAATGTAACATAGAAGTTCTCTTTCAGGCAGTGGCAGGAATACTTTCCACACTAGAAGGCAAAAATGACATGAACACAACTAATTCAAGTTTGAAAGCACCAGTGACACATCATGACATAAGTCGGTCACTATGTTTTTTCCGCAAAGTGGCATGTGAAGTAATACTTGAAGTGACTAAGAAGCATCCTCTCAAGCTGTACTTATGACTCATGCATACACTTGCCAGTGGAGCTTGCATACACGAACAGGCACACGTGTTCTGCATGCAACCAAGGCATACTATTGCCGAGATTTTCAACTGAACACACATAAACACTGATTTAGTCTAAAAGAACCTCAAAGCTCCTGAAGTACTTTGTTGCTAATATACTATGAGAGAATCTGCCTACTGGCTTCAGTTGTCACATAAGAGTTTTTGCTCATCAATATATCCAGCAGTCATTTACAAGCAAGTGAGGCTTGCTGCCTGCAAGCCATCTACATTCAATGTGAAATTTGTCAAAGTGAGTTTCTAATTTGCGAGCAAGTACCAGCCAGACTCTGCTGAAGGAACCCACCACATTTTCACTTGCAGAACTTATGTGTCGTAACTCACACCCTTTAAATTACTGTTACCTGAGAATAAAGCCACCTAAAATCGGGGGGGAGGGGGGAGGAGGCAGAGTAAACTTGGAAGGGGATGAAAAATAACTGTTGGGGGGATAAAAAGGCAGAAGAGGGGATTTAAGGATAAACTTCTTTTCATTACTATCACATCCACATAACATGAGTCAGCAGGAGTACAGCTAACCTCTTAAACTTGTTAGACCCAAAAAAGCATGTTAACCGCTTTCAAGAACTGCAAACTGAACTACCAACTCCCAAATGGAAGGGTTCCTTAATAAAAATGGGGACTAGCACTTTACTAATTCTAATATTCCTCCCCCCCGGTGACTTTTCAGACTAACATACATACAAACAAGCACACAATAAGTATATAATACAAAGAAAGCATGTTTCATTAAAATCCATTTCAATTAAAAAAAGAGAAAAATAGCTTTGATTCAAGTTTCATACATGTGAAGAAACTGAACAATGAATCCGTAAATAAAATTTTTGCTTAGATGTATGTGTTCAAGCAACTTTAAACAAATTATTGCTTCAAAGGTATTTAAAAGGTATTGCTTCAAATTCTCAATAAAAGAAAAAACCTACAGTAATAATAATAATAAAAAATCACTTACCAGTGCTCATATTTGTTTTAATGAAGTCCAAAAAGTGAGAAGATGTACATACTGAATTCTAAAAGTTTAAATATTAAGTATTGGTAAGAGAAAAAACAGCTTGGTGATAACTTCATTAGCTCGACTAATTAGCAAAGAAAGAGCGGTACTTAGTCCATTTGCAAGAAGTTATGAAGGCTGATCAATATATTTGCTTGAAAAATATCCAACTTCAGTAAGGAAAATATGAATAAGATCATCTCAACCTCATTTTAATCAATATTTCTGAAAATGCTTTTAACAGGAAGTTAGAGTTATTCCATATGTAGTCAAAAAAGTCTGCACTGATTATTCTGTAAAGACACAGGTCTAGTGAAACAAGTATGTAATTACTTACAACTCAAACAAGCCTGTAAGTATTCAAACTCCAGAAGTAAAAAATGCAATTCAAGGGTAAAAATAACAGTAATAATAATTACTTACCTGTCATTTAAGCATGTTTGGAAACATTTTGCCACTGAACAGATCTAAGAATATGCTTTTAGTAGTGAAGACTATCTTGGCAAGATCTTTCTGATAGTTTTCAGGGAGACCTTTCCAAAGTTCAATACTGCACCCAAAACTGCAACCATCACTGATGTAAACTCATACAATGCAGCTTTCACTTAGGTTTGATGCTGTCAGTGCTGCTACAGAAGCACAGAGTACTTCATCTTTGACTATAATCAAAGATAAAGCAAGTTATTTAAGGATTAGGACATAAGACTGAAGATCCTCCAGACCTATTTTACACCAATTAGGAAGTGGAAACAAATTGTGAAAATTACTAAAATCACTTCTCAACCTGTTACAGAAGTACCTGTAACAACAGCATACAATTCTTAAACAGATTAGGCACTCGCTGAAGAAACTGCAAGACGACAGTGTGGAACAGTATTTTCCCTGCAATACTTTTCCAGCTACCAGTAGACTTGCAGCTTTCAGACTTCGAGGTTTGTGTGTGGGTCACATCAAAATGCCTGTTAATGCCTATCACCTTTTGATGGATCTTTCTTTCATGAAGAGCTACAAGTTCTGGGCAAAGACATCCATAATTTTAAGGTACACAGTGTACCTTAAAAATGAGGAAAAAATATGTCATTTTGCTTATGTTAAGCCTGCTTCCTGATAATATGACTGGGTGCTACCAGTTGAAAAAACAGTATTTCCCATTCAACTTCTCCATGCCATCTTTTATGTCCTCTCCATCACTGTTTTTACCATTAAGAGGGCTTTACAATCTCTCTGAAGAGACTCTGAACTCTGAATGTATTTCTATTGCATCCTTTTTGATACTAAAATGAGAAGAAACAAATGAAAGAAACATAAGCACACCATAGTAAACAGAGACATTGTATTGTTCCATTTGCTCCTTTCTGACCTCCTAACACTTCCTCAGGAATATTTAATATCTCTTCCTTGAGCACTGATACTTCATATTATCAGTCAAAACATACCAATAGTTAAAAGGTGACTTCTGTACCCACTACATATATCAACACAATTTTCTCTAAGTCCACATGATCTCAACAGCTACGTTGTTGCATCTGTTTGAAATGGCACATACTCCCTTCCTCCAGCTAGGATGGCGAGTCTTCATTCATCTCCATTTTACTGAATATAATCTATTTTCCACTTTTGAGAAATGCCTGGACTGTACTTGATCTTGTTGACTAACACTGCAGTTCAGCTCAGACTACCTGAATTTTGAACAATTTTATCTTCTCCCTTTATATTCTGTCCCAGAATAAACAGTTTAAAATTCTTACTCTCCTTGGGGCTTTGACAGAGTCAGATAACCATAATTTAGCATGTTCTGACAGCTTAAAATAACAGCCATAAGAGGATCCATGGCAACTGCCCAGGCATGTACTCGTAGACTGCTAGGCTGTGCAAGGGCTGCTGCAAGCCCATCACAATTTAAATTAGTATGTTTGAGCTTAATCTGATTTAAATTATCAAAATTTCCAACTGACCAAGAGCGTGCATGGTGGTGACTGCTGTGGCCCTGTTGCAATATAGCAGCTGCACCAACTTGATGTTGCCCATGAGCTTTCTAAGCACTACCAAACATTTTTTTGTCCTCAAAGATTTCAACTTCCTTCCACAACAAGCAATATGTGGAAGAAGGCCTTTTCTCATATTTACAGATTTCCCTTGTCATTATCAGCATGAGGAAGGAGGTCTGCTTCCTCTTTGCTGGAACTGACATTAAAATGAACATCTCCCTAAACCAAGGTCTTATTCTCTTTTAGCCCATCCTCTCCTAAAGAAATAGTACTGTCCCTCCCTTTTTCCCAGCATTTATGTATCCCAAAGCTGAACAGTCAAGTAAATAAACTCCATTACATTAACGTGAGAAAACATAACTGGATACAACCCCAAATCTGATAGGTAGTGAAATTACAAAGAGTATTCTTAAATTAGAAAACTGGTACACAGTAGGCTTTAATTTAAAACAGTGTATTTCTCATTTTCCTAATATAAAATTGGGTTTACAGACAGAAGCCATTTCTGCATTGCAATTTTATTTTTCCTATTGGTACTGGAGACAAAGGTTTCCCCTGAGAAATCATAATATCAGCAATTCCCCTGAAGCAGCTAACCCACCTGGAAATCCATAGGTACACAGAAAAATCAAGGTGGGAGTTCATTTAGGGCTCTCACAATTGACCTTCGGTAGCAGTTAGTGTCATCAAATTTAACTAGAAGTAACAGCTGGGTTGAGAGGCAAACCCAGGTACTTTTCTCCAGAGTCTCTCCAAATACTTGTCTGGCTCTTCATCAACAAGCTTTAAAAAGCCACGGTTAAATTAAAAATTTTGTAGACTTTATTGTGTTTTAGTAACAGAACACAGAAAAACGAGCTTCTGAAGAATAACAGCTTTAAGCAAAAAATAAAGGGAGGAAGAGTCCTAAAATTAAAGGACATATTTACGGAAAAAAGTTTACTGTGAAACACTCTTTATAGTTTGTATCCTGTATAATTCCCATCTTCCAAAACTGTGTGAACAAATGGCTTTAAATTTTACTTTGAGAAGCCAGCATATTCAGAAACAGGTTGCTCTCACAGTTCTTGGGTACTAACAGGTCTGTCTTCTCCTTTCTCAGTCATATCAGTATTTGCACCAAATTGCAACAACGCTTAGAGAAGTGAGAAGTTCTACTTATTATGCAGGCACTCCACCACTTCATATCTAGAAGTTCAGAAGTCCACAAGAAGAGTACACAACTGAAAGGTTTAAATTCCAACTTCCATCTGAAAAACCCTACTATTAGAAGATGATCCAAGACAGTCCAGAGGACAAAGAAAAAGAAACAGAAGTTGGTCACTCTCACCATTAAGAGCTGTAGCAGTGCAGAATCTGTTAATGGGGAATAAGAACTATTTGACACTTTAAAACATTTAAGTCTGCAGCCACTCTAGCAGAAGTGGTTCTGCTGAACATACAAATCTTCAGCAGCACGCTCAGAATTCAAACTTAATATAGTAAAGCTATTTGAGTTTCTTCTAGAGGAAATCTAGTACATAAAACACTGCACTCACACACAGTCCTTTTCAGTTAGTTAACACCCACATAGTTTGCACTAGTCAGAACCAACAAACCTAAGTTCCATGTTGCTGCATGACTTACCCGGACCAGCGCATCATCTATGATGTGATCACGTCTCACTTTAAGTCGCAAATATGGGTTGAGCTGCTGTCCTTGAACTAAGCTGTAGAGCACAGTTATGCGTCTTTCACTGTACATCCGGATTCTATTGTCATAATACAATCCCAGGTTCTTGGTAACAGCATTCAATATGAAGGGACAGGTCATAAAAGAGAATTTATTTTCTGTTTCTACTTTGAAGAAAGTGTAGTCTTTATCCATTTCTAGAACATCATTCAGTGGTTCATTAATAAATTCTTCAAAAGGGATAAGTGGTTTTCTGCAATCTATAGTTTTAACACCAAGTTCAGTTTCCAGTGGGTCCACTCGAGGACCTTTTTTATTTCTTCTTTCCTCACCCAACAACTCTTGAAGAGTTAGTTCACTTGATTCTGGGATGGGTTCTTCATCTTCCTCTTCATTATGATCTGTATCCACATCCCCTCCTACTACATTTGCATAGTAAACCATTTTCAAGCACTTTGAAGCAGCAACAACAGCATCATCATCATTCACTAGGTTACGACTATTGAACTCATTGCTTATGACTTTGTAAGTAATAAGCTGCTGAAATGTTTCCATCATTCTCCGAATTTGGTCTGCTCTGTACTTAGACCACAATCTGATCAGTTTTGCTTGAGCTGCAAGGGGTAGCTTGCTCATTGCTTTGCAAAACAATGGTAGAGCCATTTCCAGATATTCTGGGCTATGAAGATTGCCATTCTCCATAACAATAATAAACAAATTCAGATAGTTAGGATCCCGAGAGTACACATTATGGTAAGTCAAGTCACATTCCACATTAGGTGACAAGTACACAAGTGCATTTAAAAAGGCAGTTTCTATTTTTTCATTAGAAAGTAACCTATCATAGACCCGCCTGACTGCTTCAATATCTACAGACACTTCATCTGGGCCTAGTTTTTGGAGGTTATTATCCCCTTGTGTATTATCACCTATTCTTGACGATGAAGATGACGATGCGCCTGAATCTTCTTCCATAGCAGCAGCCGAACAGGCAGCCTTTTCCTTTTCATCTTCATCTTTGTCTTCATCCTTTCCTTGAAGAGACTTGAGCTCCTCCTTGGTGTGCTGCTTGGCTTTTCGGAAACTCTGTACCAATGCTTCAGCACTAGAAAATACTCTCCCAATCACCCGGATTAAAGGGGAATAATCCTCCTTCTCTCGACATAGTTCAAGAATTTCATATATCTTATCTTCTGTTAGAAAAGTCACATCTATAAAAAGATAAAGTGTTAATTAGTAAGATAAAAATTAAAAAGAAAAAATATTTCTGATTTGCTCTACTCAAGAAATCTGTGTATCACATCATTAACACTGGAAAAAACAGTGTCAGTGTTGGGTAAATTCAAGACAGACACTTTGTATTTCATTAGCATGAAGAATCATGATTTTATTACTATGATTTTGTAAAATATTTTATTCATGAATGTGGATCAGAGAACAAGCTCAATGGTAAAACTGTTTTGCAGCCAATTAACTACATTTGGTAGTCAACAGTACTGTATCATCTAAACAAACTAAACCAATCAGTAAGATGTTTAAACTTTAAAAGACATAATGAGTGAGATTGGGTGACAATACATTCTTCTGTTAAATCTGCACAGTAAGTCTTTAAACTATACACAAACTAAACTGAATCAATGTCATTTTCAACCACAGCACATGCACATATGTGCACACTCTTTCTCCCTTAAAAACAGATCTTGAAGAAAAGATTCATTAATTTGTTTTGTTGTACATTAATGGGAATATAAGATTTCTTATTTCTATTTTTAATGCTTTCTGCAACTGTTTTTATACGAAACTGATGCCTGAAAATCCAGAAAAACCACAATACATGCTCAGAAATTTATACTGCCTTCTAAACTGCACACACGGATGGGCATATGGGTTATTTCTTTGTACATTAGGCCTGAGATAAACAACTTCTATTCAGATTAACACGCTGGTTTACACACATCATCTGCATGGGCTCCAAATACCTGTCTGTTCCCCCCTCCCCTCCAAACCTCTGATATAAGTAATTTGGTGGTCCATTTGTTATTTGAAATCTTTCTTTCTCTTTAGAAAAGAGAAGGAGAAAACATTATTTATAGCTTTCTATGCTACTTCTCAAACAGAACCCACAGATGCTTTCACATCAGGTGATGATTTAGAGTAGGATTACCACATGATCAGACCCTGAAAAGATGTTCTAGTTTAAGCAGATTCTTCTGAACTGACACATAATTTAGAACTAAAACTGAATCTGTTTAATAGCATCTCTAGAGATCTAAAAAACACACATCACAGCACTGTATTCACCAACCATGCTAGAACTACCTCTGCATAAAGAAGGAAGTGTATCATTTTAATAAAGACAGATATATGTTAAAGTATTTTGAAATGTGATTGCCTACACTAACATTGATTCCAAGCAGTCGTTAAATTAAAAATACAAACTGAATGATGCAAAGACAGACAACCTATTGATTTTCAGAGCCCCAAGCCATTCTTAGAGCACATATAACACAGCAAAGATTAAGTTTATATCATGCAACTGAGATTGACTTTCAACCAATCTGAAGACAGTGAAGAAGCTTCAAAACTAAAATCTGTCCTGGTAAAAAAACAATAGCACTGAAAATATTATGAAAGGTTCAAGCTTAGTGCAACATCTATTTTTATCTGCTGCAGTGCATGCTCAAGAAGCAAACTTGCCTAAAAGAAATTTAACTGCTGATACAGATGCTGTTCCATGCCATGGCTCCTCAAAATGAGGACCATAGCCTCAAGTTCAGTGACTCTGGATTGCAGAGGTTATTCATAGCATAAAGTTTATGAGCAAAAGTTGACAATTTAACAATATTATACGTTTCAGATTTCCATACTTACAACAGGAATTCCCCAGTCATTCTTTTAAAGGTTTTAATATTTAAGGAACTAACCAGGTGCTATTTCCACTTAAAATATTTAGCATTACCCTCAGCAGTTTCACAACAGTTTTAAGTCATATCCTGTGACCAAACTCTGAGCTGCCATAAGGGTCTGCCCCATTTTTACCTTACAGCAGTAAGAACAGCTGGAGAAAAACAATTGTAAGTGAAACTTTCTTCTAACTCAAGTCAATTTTAGCAGACTTGTGTCTGAATGTGAGCTTTCACATGCCTTCTCCCCTTACCCTTTGTATTGCAACTAAACGATTCCACAAAGTATCTCCTCTCAGACCTTCTTCTCAGTAATACTCCATGACAAATCTGTACATGAAGTCAGCTTTAGCAGTGATCCTTGACTGTGAAAAAGACTGCATGTGATCTATATATTGCCAACAACACACTCCCTAATTAGCAAATTTATTAATTATCTTTCCATTATCTCTCATGGAAGCATTGTTATGATTGTGTGCTCACTGCCTGTCTGCTGACCTTCTCTGTTCCCAATTTAATACTTTGGTGACCAAACTTGAAAATAGCTTCCCAGGTAATTATAACACTGATTTTGAAATGGTGCTCTCTATATATGACTACATTTGTAACCCATGCTTTTTATATATTTGTAATTTCTCTATTTCCTTCCTCTTTCTGGACTGCCATCTAAGTTATTACTAAGATGCTGACAATGGCCTCCAGATACATTTTTTCCCCAAAGGTAATAGTCTTAGGGCTCAGCACTACAGAAAAGTAATGTAAATAATTCTTTCTGAAGGGCATTTCTTTCAATTTACTTAGAACTTTCAATCCTATGTCAAGCATAAAAGCAAGCTGCACATCCTTTTCCTTGGCTTTCTCAAACTTAATTGCAGTTTTCCCAGTACCTGTTGCTGCAGATAGACCTTAAAAAATTTCAGAGTGCTGGATTTCTTAGACATCATCCAATTCCAAAGGTAACTAAGAGTCTCAGATGGGCTTTAAGAACACATTAATGCTCTCTGTCCATACAGCTACAAAGACAGGTCAATACTTGTGATGCTGCAACAGATGAAGTCTGAGTCATTGCTTTAGGCAACAGACTGTCTCTGGAGATAGGTTGAGAAGACTCTTAGATATCTGTCTTGGGGAGAGAGGGCAGTAGGGTCAGAGAGAGGGAGGAAAATTCTGTACGTGCACACCTCCATTAAAAATACACAAAACCAAAAGACAAATCACAAAACAGACATAATGTGCCTCTTGCCCATCTAACACTACACTGGCTCCCCTTTCCCCTCCCTACTGTTTGCCTCTCTACTTACTCAGATCATAAATAATTTGGGGACAAATTTATCCTTGCATCAGATAAAGAACAAACTGATGTAGGTATTGACTGGAGCATCTTAGGTCCCTTGTAACACAGTGCTATCTTTATTGCTGATTCTGTAGGTCTTTTTAATTCTTTGCTGTAAACAGTTTCACCTTCTTCAGCTAAAATGAATGAATCTGAACTTCTGTATTTATACCACTTATTGCAACAATACTTAAAAGCCTGCTCAAAGGTTAATGGCTTTAATTTCATTTAGCTTGTGATTTCTGTTTGCACCACAGGTTTTGGCAAGAACTAAATTATTCTTGTAGTATGTATTTACTATTCTAGAGAGTTTGAAAAGCTAAACAGAAGTTAGAAAAGACATAGAATGGCATTTCATTCTCTTACACTGGCTTAGAAATCACTTTGCTTACTTTTTTTAGCTTGGTAGATGTATTGCCTATCATCCACTGTATCATTTTCTTGTTCATGTGTTAATTTTCTTAACATAGAATCTGGAGCTAGTTAAAGTATAACTTTTATAACTCATTAACTAAAGAAGAGTTACAAAACTAGCAAAACTAAAGCAGTCATACAACAGCACTTAAAAAAACCTCTTTTGCAAATATTTGCAAAACCAGTAATCCCAGAAAGCAACAAATGCACATGGATTTTAACAGAGATGTGGTAAAGATCCAGATTTGGAATTAAGTGTTCAGTATTAATCCAGCCATTTTTCAGAATTCATAGTAAAATATTTGATTTCCCAATATTGTATTTTACTTAAGAAGTCAGCAGAACACCACCACAGTGAATTCTATAGGCTTATAGTCATGCATATTAAATGTGTTTTATTTTAGGAAAATTCTAAAATAACATCTTACCTTTAAAGTCATCTCTTGGGCCTTGCATTTCCTTCTTGTTCATTTTTCTGTCAGTGCAGGAATTGTTATGGGCACCTTTGGAATTGTTTTCCAGGTAAGCTGAGCTCGTTCCTTTCTTGGAGGGATGAGGATCACAGAGTTTTGCATTAATCTTATAAAGCTCGAGGGCCTTAATGGCTGCTGCATTGTTATCCATACGGAGAAAAGTTGGACAGGAAGCACAAAATTCATTCGTGCAGGCTTCATTTCCACAGCCCTCAGTTAACTGGTGGTAGTAGCGCTCTATTAGATGCTTTGCAGCTGCTCGCTTCCTGTAGCAAACATTCAAACAGTAAGTACAAGGATTAGTAGAGCTTTCACATACAAAGCTCGTTCAAAAGCATCAGCAAGGCAGAGATTAGTCAGGCACTGAAACACAAGATTTCTGTGTCAGAGAGGACACATCAGATTTTTTTAAATGCAGGATTCTCATCTTGACAAATGCAAATATATTTAACACACAATTTAATTTGTGGGTCCTATGCAAGTGAAAGGTAAACCCTATTTATGCACAGTTTTCAGCTTTACATTCTAGTGTTACAGTGGACACAATCTTGTTCAGTTCTGAACAATCTCAATTGTCACTGAAAAAGAGCAATTTAGATGCAAAGCAAGGCTGCAAGTGAAACAGAACTGGATCTCATACAGGTGATTGAGTCTGATGTATAGTACTGAGGTATGGTTGCCACTGACAGACGGAAGAAGCACGAAATACAAATGATCCAGGCATTTATTTAGTAATACTATCAATACTACACCAATAGGATACAAAACATTTAAAAATCTAAACTGTTTTATTTTTAACAAGATTCCAGATGAGTAAGGTATCTGATATTTAGTCTATTTAAATCTCTAGGAAAAATATTCCTTGGTTAATTAAACTGATAACAAAACCACGATTATAGATCAGCTCAATGCTGAATATATCTCTCCTCAGCTCAATAAGGCATATGGTTCTCTAAAAACTATCTTCCAAATCCTCCCCTTTCTCCTGCAATTATACATGCCAAGTATGTATTTTGAAGAATCACAACTGTATCACCTACACAAGTCAATGTGCTCAGTACTATATATACACACACAAGAAAATTTAACTGGCCAATTAATAAGGTCACAAACTTTGACAGAAACATGCAAATGGTAAAGAAATCACATGAAAGCTGCAGGTAATTGGGACAGAAGCAGCAGCATGCAGCACCAAGAACACCACATTTGATCACATTTTAGAAAGAAACCCCCAAACCTTCACTTCATTTAAGAAAATGAGTTATTAATGAAAAATATCAACTATGAAACATTTCAAACATTTTGATTACATGTAACATGCAGGCTTTTAACCTAATTTTAGTGATACAGTACTATAAAGATTAGTACTGGGAAGCAAGATTTTCATCAGAAATTGTTGTATTAACTTAAAGTTGCCTTTTTTGATGTTGATGCATGCACAGATTCTGTGTAGAACAAGTACTTGAGAACTGAAGTGCTAGACCCACTAGTACTACTCAGCACTTGCTGCACCTAGCTGTTAATATTGGCTGGTTAAGTATCAGTTTCAATGCAGCTGCTTCAGAAGGGAAAATGTCCTGAAGTTCTGAAAGTAACTATTGAGGCGTACATTATTAAGCAGTAACACCTTTGCTCCTTCCTTTTCACCCTTCAAGATCTCATAATCCTAGACAAGAAAATATTTCTTACAAAGAAAACCATTACCTCAATGTCTACCTGACCTTCCAAATGCCCCAGTGTGTTCCAAGACAAAAAAATTGAAGAGAAAGGTTTCCCTGGCACCTCAAGACATAGGTGGAAGACCATAAAAAAAAAAAAAAAAAGCAGCACCAGCAACACCATCAAAACCACTACCGTATAAACAGGGAATAGCTGTATTCTGATCCAAGGTTAAGAGTTCTAGCGTCTCCAACTTTTATACGCAGACTTAGGAAAACCTGTCTCTCTCCATGTATGTATAAAAATATAAGGGTTTTTTTGATCTTGTCTTTCATACTTCAGCTTTTAGTATAGAGGCTTTAAAAAACCAACAGTGTTTTAATACAGCTTAGACCAGTACATGATTTCAGACATCTATTTTCTGAATGCCAAGATTTCAATGCTTTGATCATTCTTGACTTTCAATCACTGCAGACCTTAAGATTTAGTGTGTGAAATATCATCATTTGTAAGCAGGTAAGTATATAATGTGAAAGCCTTTCTTTGTTAATATTGAATTTTTACACCTGAGCTATGGCCACCTGTCTCACCAACATGCTCCTTATTTACTCCTCTTGCAGTCTGTCCTATGCATTGCCTTGATGCCTTCATCAAAACTCTTTCCAACTCAAGTTGAAACTTACTGTTCTTTTATTCTTCCTCCCTCTCTCTCACTGACCATGTTTTCCACAGTGCATACAAAATGGTGGTTATTTCATATACATGTTATTATTTTAACTTTATCCTTCCTCATTGCATTTTCCTTCCATTTTATTTCTCCATTGCAGTCTACATGTAGATCACATTTTTTTGCCATAATTTTGACCTATGTAATACACCTGTGAATGTTATATGGATTATTTCTCACATCTGTTCTAAGTGTATATATAATTAGGGGTATGTGTGTATGTATTTACTTACCTAAAGCAGCTGGAGTTGTTATTCAGGATAAATATACTGTGAAAAGCTAACCAATTTCCTAAGAATACTGAACTTAATTTTTCAAACTGGAGAAATTGTTAGTCTTAGAGGCATGCACACTTTCCTAGCTTATGTAACATCTAGTTTGAATAAAGTTATTTCAATGTATAAACACTGATATATTAACAACACATTTTATCATATTAAACAACACTCCACTTCAATTAGGTCATATCTGAGATGCCAGGAGACAAAGCTAAGCTTAGACTTGTCTCTAACAGTTAACTTCTGAGGGACTCAAGATTTTTTGCCTTCCAACATTTAACTACCTATTCTCAAACTGTGCCATGCCTACAGTAATGCTGTTTGTACAAACATTTTCCTTTTGACTCATGGCCACTGACTCAACTTCTGCGAAATTCTATTAGAGACGGAAGGTCTGACTGAAAGTTACATATTTTTTTTCTTTTTTATTAAAATCAACTATGGAAGCAAACAATACAATGTACAACAGTACTAGAACACAACAGTATTAGAATTCCCCCCCACACCTCTCCCCAGCAGCTATTCCACAGACTTTTGATATGGCCTCAGATAAATCATTTAAGTAAATAAAAAAGGTGGAGACTTAAAGTGAGGATACAGACCTAAGAAGGTAGAACAGAATTTACCAAGCCTTCCACAAGAGCTACCCTTACCAAGGTCCATCCATGAAAGCACTTACAGAGAATGCAGTTCTGAATAAGCCAATGTGTGATTTTACAGAACAGTAAGATATTCCATACCATATTCACATTGGGGTACTTGAAGAATTATTGTCACTGTCCAGTGCCAACAGCCCACATTTCCTATATTATTCAGAAAAAAATGTAGCATACCTTCTATATTCTCCAGAGGTGAAAACTTGATCTCTTTCTTCCCTTGCTCATTTACTATGCAGAAAACTTCAAGTTCTACCCTGAGGCATTAAAACTGGTTCGTCAAGTGAGGTAACACAAAACCCCTCTCTATTCTTAGCTCAGGCTATATAAAGGGAGCTGCAGTCCTCACTGTAAGTTCCTATACAGGGATCTAGTGAATAGTAACTGGTCCCTTATGAACTCAATGACTAGTTTACATTAGCACACAGACACCTTCTAGTGTAGCTAAGGCTGCAGTGACTGACTTGCATAAGTGTTTGCAAAGACTCACACTGTTGTTGCACATCCAAGTATGAAACTGCACTGGTGTGGTTGCAGTTGTAAACATTTCACAGACATCACAGGCATATCCTTATACCTTAAGGATAACTTCCCACACAGTGGGCCTTGTATAACCTCCTCAAGCAAGACACACTACTTCAGTGAGGAGGAGAGGCACCTAAAATAGATGTCATCTTCCTTCCCCAAAGTCCAACAATTTCACAAGCACATTTTTCCTTTTAAAAAGAAATTAGTATTCACTGACTTCTGTAGTACTTAAAGAGAAAAGAATGCCTTTAGGCTTTCTAGTTGTTCTTTAACTAATAAAAAGCCAGATAATAAGTACTTTGCATTTGTAATTTAAATGCTGGCAAAACTGTGGAGTATCACTAGAAATGTGCACCACTGAGCCTGTCTTTCTAGATACTTAGGCAAAGGTGCACTGTGGGCTGCATTTTGAGTTGTAAAGTAATTTTTGAATGTCTAAAACCTATACAAAGAGATCGAGCATGCTCATTCAAAAGTTCCTATGTAACAGCAGCCAATTTGCATTTCTCAAATATCTTAAACTAAATACAGAGAAATGCTACATAAACTGTTGTGATAGAAAAAACCATAAGTTTAAACATTTAAGGAATTTTAGAAAAATTTGAAGCATATAATTCCTAAAGTTCACCTACAAAGCAAAGAATTTGCATCCAAGTTTCAAAATTTGCCTGAAGTTAAAATTATCTGCATAAAAGCATAATTTTTGCTTTAAGTTTACCTAAATTTTAGAAACATGTATGAAGGTCTCATACTTGTCTGGAAATATCAGTATGAAATGACTTATTTCTGAATGCTTTCTGCTTGGGACACAACTTTTATATTATTTCTACACAGAAGTCACAAAAATCGGCTATCTTGAAGCAATGTGAAAGTGGAAATTTACAATGGCCTGTTTTAACAAGACTATTAAGAATTCTGATGTGCCAAAATGTTCATAAGCTGTTCTCTTTCTCAACGCAAAAAACCCAACAAAAATCTTAATGTGCGGGGAAACTAGAGGAAAATTTATGTTTATGTTTTGGATAGTAAAAACACAGGGAACAGTTTTTTTAGTACTAATAGCAAAACAACTTTCAGTATATGCCTTAACAGACAGGAGCATAAAGATCCTTATACACCTGCAACAATTATACTAGGCCTTGGAAATAAGATGACCAGCAGATCAAAAACTGATAAAAAAAAAATGTGGGTTATAGATGGACATATTTGTGAAGTTAAATACTGCCTTCTTAGAGGTTCAGTTTAAGACCTCATATGTTGGTTTCCTGCTTCTGTCTAGTTAGAGTAAGAACAGCAGTGCTGGAGAAGACAAGCTTCCAGTAAAAGCACCGCCCACACAGACCCTTTTGAAGCAGCCTGCACACCAAACTGCCAAACACTCTACCCAGAGCTGCAGCTGAGCCCTCTGTTCCAGTAGTGTTGTAACACCTTTTGCCTGCCTCAGCCACTGGTACCCCAGCAAACATATGTGTGCAAACGCACATGTGCACAGAGCTCGCATTTTCCAAACCTCATTCTTTCCAGTGTGGTGGGGCCCAATAGCTGGGGTGCAGACCGCGAACCCCCTTGGACCATCCTGGCTTCACCCAAGGGACCTCCCTCCCCACCACATATTCTAGATCCACTGTGTCTCTGGAACAGCATGTGCTGGCAAAGTCAGGCACGGCTCTTCCTCAGGAAGGGCAAACCTGAGAACAAAAGAGTTGTCCTGGCTTTATGGAGCAATGCAGAACGACAGCTAGAGAGAGAGGGTCAAGAACAGAGTCAGCACGTATCTCTTAATCTTGCCTCACAGACAAATTACCTTCCTACAGTCCTATTAGAAAAGCACCCTTCATTAATGCCCTTTCCTCTTCAGGTTATTAGCTCCAGGACTCTACAGAGACAATGTCATTCCACAGACCAACTTTCATACCCTGCTTCCTATCTGTCCTTCTTAAGAAGGCATTCAGTGCCCTGTCACCCGTGTGACCCCTCTAACATTCAATTAGCCATAAAATTGAGAGATGAATAATGCATCAATTATACCTTGGCTTTTCAACCCAAGCAATTTCAGCAAAAATCCCCAGTCGTGCCCCCACCCACCCCCTTACAGGTTTGAAGCCATTAAATAACTGATTATGCGGAAAGAGTTATTAGGCAATTATTGTAAGCAATCAACATATGTAAATGGTAATGACTGTAGGCATACTTCACTGTTTTAAATACTATGCTCACATTTACAGAACCAGTGCCTTTTGAAAAGGCAGGGAGAAAAACAGCCTTCATAAAAAAGCCCATAAATTTATTTAACTACGAAGAAAAAAGTAACTTGAATTACTGACAGAATAAACTCATTCCTAAGTTTAGGACTGATTATAAATTTACAACATCTTATTCTCTTTGAACAGATTTGTTATTCTTAATATTTTAAAGAAAATATATAATTATTATCAGCTGTTAAACTTCAAAAGAATAATCACGTCTAACCACACAAAACATTTCAACAGTTCTCCAAATTTTATTTTAAATTATCAAGTAAAGAGTCCTAAACTCTAATACTTTGTACTGGCTGTGAGGCCACAATAAGACAAACTTTGTCTTTATTGGAAAGAAATTAAATGATAGTAACTTCACATACTTGCAGGAATCCTTCAGTCTTTTACATTCAGGACAAAACAAATAATGAGTATTTTATCAAATATTAAGCAAAATACATAGTCTTTAGTACCTTCCATGTTGTTTTCCCCTTGGTTAAAGAAGTCCTGGCACTCAAGCAAGTACAATTAAACTTTATGTTGTACTCTACTGAACAAGCTTAAATTTGTCAAGTATGAAATTTATACACTGTATTCTGATCAGCAGACCAATCAAAGAAAGAAGACTAGTATTAGCACTGCAGTGAGATATCAAAAGACACAGACAGTAACTTGGAGACGCTGATTCCGATTGTCTACTTCTGGACCACTGGAGTGTTTCAGTAGAAAGCATGATGCAAGAGACAAATTATTTCAGACAAAAATACTGATATAAGAAGGGGACTGACCATTGCAACATGCAAGACCGATCTGCAGAGAACAGACCTAAATGCTGAACAACCTAGTACTCTCCTTGTACAACTTGAAGAAAAGAGGCCAAGTACAGGAAAGGGACTGTTTTCAAGTTATTAAAAACTCCAGAACACTTTTTAAAGTTAGGTTTCCATGGTAGCATTCTTTTACTACACCTTCATTCTGCATGACTCTGTCCAAGGATGACCATGATCACGCAGAAACTAAGTGCAAGTAACATGGATCATAAGACTTAAACACATGAGTTTCCAGTTTAAGAACAGCCTAGCATTTGTGGATTAGACAGCTCCAGAGAGAAATATCTTCTCTTTAAGCTTTCTTTTTAACTGGTAAATGTACAGCATCCTCCAAGCTCCATGGGAACCAAGGTCTACAATACATTTGCTTCAGTTATATTTTCTACTGTGAAATCTGGAATTCCTTTTCTTTCAAATCATTATAAAATTTGGTCAACTCATCTTACCGCACTTTTGCTCTTAGAAGCAAAGGTAAAACAGACACTTAATTGTAACTTAAGTAGTTGCTAAATTTAAGGAAGTAGTAATTCTTGAGTCAATGCAGTCTTATTAACTGATGACGTTTCCTCAAGGGAATCGCCATCTGGCTAAATGATGCATTGCAAGAGGCTCTGAGAAGAAATTTTTTAATTCATCCTGGGCAGATCACAGTGTAACAAGGCTGTGCAGGCTTGCAGGTGTACATAAAGATACTTCTTACATCTTTTCTTTCCAAGAATGTCAATAGAACGAGCAGTGAATGCCACAAAAATACCTATATGTGGCAAGGTTTGATATAAAGGCCATGATCAGCATGTCCCATGGTTATGTTATGCAAACCCGCCTCTGTTTTAGGCTATGAGGAAAGTAATTTAAGGCACTCTGTCCAGGAAGCACTAGGATAGCATCTGAAAGTATGTATCAGGAAACACTTATACAGTTACTGTATATATTTGCAATGGTTGTAATTTGTTTTTCTGGCATATTTTGAGGCTGCTGCAGAATTTTTATCAAATCCACTCCAATGTGAGATAACTATACATCAGCTAGAACCGCAACAACACCTTAAATGGGGGAGTGTTCAGCAACTTTAAAAAAGAGAGAGAAGTTTCAAAATTGCCAAGCATCCCATCCTCAAAAACAGAAAGAAGGAAAGATGGCACAGAAAGCCATAATATAAAAATACCCAAACATTTGCCTTGATACGTGACAACATACAATACACAGAGTGAAAATACATGAACTGATAAGTCAAGTTATTGTTAAACAATTAAAAATCATGTAATTTAATACTAAAGAGGGTTTAAGAAAGTTATACTAATTGAAGCTGAAAATTAATGTAGACCTGTGACAGGAACAGATAGGAGAAATTGCTGATCTTAGAAATTCAAAGACTTGAATGAATGCTAAGGAAAAAAGACTCCTGAGCTAGCATGAAGATGTTCATCACGCACAGAGCCAGAATTTGAAAACCTTGGGATAAGCAAGACTTATCCATGGAAGAATTTCCTGCATAAGGGTCTGAAAGAGTCAGTAGATTTAATTATTTATTTATTTTGATTCACACATGTGTAACATGTGACTATGCTTTTGGTATAGAGCTTTGCAATGCAAAACAGAGAAACAAATAAAGCAATTATATCAGCCAACAAGAGCAAAAACAACTTAACCATTCATTGTGCAAATAACAAAACACTTGTGTAAGTCCCTGCTTTTACTAATGAATTATAGGCATGTAAATAACATAGTAACTCTTAACTACACAGTAGGCTTGCAGGTCACTGTATTACCCCACCTGCCATTCCACCTAATGTGGCAAGAGTATGCAGCAGGATTACACAAATTCTCTGTAACAGGTGATATACACATCACATTGTGATACAGTTTTACAAAATCTAGTTTTGCAAGTGTACCATGCATTAATACTGTATAACTACTACTCAAACAAATATGTAAATCCCTACAGCTTGACTGGCTTACATCTATTTCAGACAGATACCCAACATCCATACCATCAGGGCAGCTCTGATCATCATTCTGCACCAAAAAAAAAAAAAAAAATTAAAAAATTCAGCTTTCACACAGAAAAGCTTGCTACTGTAGACTCGTACTGTAGATTATTTTTTCAGGTTCAGTTTTAAAGAGGATAAAACACACACACAAAAAGAACTGTCAAACTGCTAGAAGGAAAAAGAGTTGTACTGCCTTTTCCTTCTGCTTTATCATAGGTCCTTATAGAGTCTTTGTTTCTCACCAGTCAAGATGCTTGTTTCTGACATATCTTTCCTTACAACTTGTAAAAAGCAGTAGTCCAACTGACAATATCCAGAGTGGACTACAGCCAGTCTACAGCCTGATTTCCCCTGTTTGGCTAGGCCAGGGAAACAAAAGAACACAACTCAACTTGCTGCAGGAATCATAAACCACAATGCAGCAGGGGCTGCTACTGGAGCAGAAGATAGTACAGCAGTGTTTTTGCCCTGCAACCTCTGTCTCTAACACATGTCCACACAGTGACAGCCAGTCACCTCTCAGGTCTGGATCCCTGCAACCTGTACTCCTAAGAAAGCAGCTAGACAACACTTCTATAATAGATGCATGAGAGAGGGAAAAAGCAAATTTGTCACGCCAGGAGAAATGCTCCTCCTAGTGCAAGAAAAGACTTTGCTGCAGTGAATTACTAAAAACACAGAGGAAAAGCATTCCTTGTTTCCTTCTCATCACTTTTAAGGTTGGTTATGCAGTCCAATGTGGAGGGGCTCACCTCAGCTTTGCTCCTCCCCAAGTTTGACAGCTACAGCAGAGAAATCCTTGAGCAATTCGCACTATGCCACTAGCCTGCAAAACATCCTGAAACTGGCATTCAGACCACAGTGCGTAAAATGCCGGACCACTTGGGGGAGGGCGTGGAGGAGACAGTTTAAGGTCATAGGAGTAGTTTGTGACAGAAAAGAAATAAACCCTGATCTCTTGAAGCCTCATACAGTACCCTAACCACTAGGCTATGGTCCTGCTATTATTTTGGAACTTGTGCTGTAGGCCAGAAAAGCAGAGTTTGTGGTTTCCCTATTCGAATTCCATGACAGGACAGTTTGAATAGCTAGAAAAGAATATTTGTTTGCTAATTCACAGAAGAATAAGGCCTCAAATAACTTTTTTCCTCTTTTAAAATGGTCCTCTTATTCCTGCAACCCTTTTGAATTTGAAATTGAAATGAACATTTCAGCCTATCACAATCTTGCTTCTAGGCTAATGAAGACAGACCAAAACAAGGTTCAGAACTGTGAGCAAGATGCTACATGAATACTGTTTAGTGAAAGAAAGCTAGTTTCCTGTTTCTAGAATTAACTAGTATATAAATTTGCCAAATAAAGTCAGACATTTTTTTCTTCTTCTTAGTTCAGCAATCCATCTGCCACAACAGATATCAGCAGGTATTGTGTCTTAGTACTGAAGTGTCTTCAAACCCATGCAAGATGTTAGTGAACAGCAGGTAGAAATTATACCCCTACTGTCAAGTCTGAATATAGGCCTGAAGATTTCTGACACTGTATTATGCTACCATCTACTGGTTCCTGTTAAATTAATCCTCTGAACTTTCCCTTCAACCCATTCACCCTCCAACAATTAAAAAAAAAAAAAAAAAAAATCACAGTTTGTACAGAGGCTTAAAATTATTTTTCCATAGCAAAATACTAACTTTTTCTAAGGTAATTCCACAGTTCTACACAGCGTTTTTGTTTTTTTTTAAGCAGGTGCAATAGTAACTGTTACATATGTTCAAAACATTTTTAAACAAGAGATACCAAACTCATCCACTCATTTACTTACATTCGGCTAGTTTCAATGTTTTCAGAGTGAGGTTCTCCTGGTGATCTGCAAATACAGATACAAAACTTTAAGCATTATTTTAAGTCATTACAATATGAAGAGTCAGGAAAGGTGGAAAGTGATAACGATGTATTACTGCCACTAAAAGCATCAACTTTAATGCACTTGCACATTTAATTTGACCAAACTCTAGAAGACAGTTTATAACATAAAACCTGACAATATAATTAAGCCAGATTTCTCTAAGGAGGACAGCACTTTTGCCCCTGCAGCTTACACAACAGCAGCCATTAGAGAAGAGTTCTGCTGGCAGTATTTCTGTATTCAGGTTGTACAGTGCATCAGTTCTGGGCTAATCCTTCATAACCACTTCTGTAACCAAAATGTATACTCAAAGTTTATCAGTGATCAACTGTTGCAAACAGATTCTCTGCACAGTTGGACGCTAAGAAGCAGCAACTCAGAAGCAGGTCTCAACAGGATCTCAAAACAAATTTCATGTCTCTCTACTTGAATTTATAGACATAATCTCACAGGCAGCTTTCTGTTTCTTCCTTCCAGCCAACAGGTCAGCCACTAATATTCAGAATTAGGTGTTACTGCCCGGCATTTTTGAACACATAAGCAGCACCTATGTTCAGCTTGCCACCCCCCTTGACTTAATTTACAGAGTAATTTAAGCGGTATAGTTCCACATTAACTTAAGTAGGCTAAATTATAGCTGTTTAGCTCCTCCTTATTCCGATCTTCTTCCTTATGCCAGCACTGATTCAAGAAGTTAACATTTAATTTTTCTTTAGACAGATTATTTTTTTCCTCCCTTTGGGACTTCCTCCTACCCAGTGAGTTTGTAGCCAGATGAGCCAGGAGACAAGGCAGTACAAATGCAGCAGTTTTGACTTCAATCACCTTAAGCTGCCTTGAAATCATATCCTGCAGGACCTCATCCAACCTTCACTTGGGTATAGATTTTGGTACAGTTGACCAGAACTGCCACGCTGAATATATTGCGTGAGGAGTGGAAATAGAGCACAGCCATTACAGTAAAACTCTGTCGCTTATATGAACAAAAATGTCTTTCATGACAGAGCTCTCTCAGAACAGAAGTGAGCTAAAATCTGCAAATAAAACTCACTTTATAGGTTTCAACAGAATTTGCTAGGGAACTTCAGTTAGCACAGCTAAGCAGGCTCTCCCATAGCTTTACCAGGAAAATCTTTGTTTATAGGAATGGAATTTCCAAATTTCTCTATTTACTAGATGACTATCTCTACTATTCTGAACACTCTAAGAAATTTCCACCTGTAGCCTGAAACATTCCCCTTTTTCCTATGTTTCATTGTGCTACCTTACCGGATGGTCCCTCCTGTTAATGCCTGGACTGTTCTCCCAATTCTCTACTAAAATCTTAATTCCTTTATTGACATACCAGATCTTAGTAAATTTCTGGATTTTACCAAACTGTACTATATTAACAGACCCAGTGCCGAGAATGCACTTCTGGCAGACAATTTAAAATTCCTAGGCTAGCTGGATATTATGCAGTGACAGATGATGCAGAACACAGGAAGTTATTTTATTTATATTTCACTAAGTTATAAAATTAAACTGACACTATGGACAGAATTCTTGAACTTACTATCCAACTAACTTTATACTCATGTTTGAAATGCAAATACCCTCTAACTGGAAAATAACATAAAAACTGCCCAATCTCATAATTTGGTCTCTATTTATTCCCTCCAAATGATGTTTCTCTTACTCATTGAAGTTCAGGACTGACAAGATAGTTGCTGACAAAAATAATGTTTGACCCAAAATTTCATTTCCCTTCAACTCCAGTGACCAAAACAAGTCAGTAAATACTTAGCAGAGAGAATAGACACCCCCCCCCCCCGCAATTATTCACCTAAGCATGTAAGAGCTAGAAGCCATACAACCTGAGGAGCAGTGGAAAGAAGAGTGTTTATATTCATGCTGGCTAGCTCCTCTATTCACATCCTTTGCTTCAGAAACTGACAGCAAAGAGTCTGGAAGCTTGAGGTGGTTGCTATCTTTTAGTCGTAGGAAATACAACCTATTGGTTGTATGGGTAAGAGTAGTGCTTTAAGTTGCTACGAAAATCTAAGTGAAATAGTGGTGTTAAAACAAAAACATCAAGAGTATTAATCACTTTGAGCCTTTAAAATGCACAGCAGTATGAAAAATTACAGAAAAAGAGCAGATTGGCATCTAAACTTGGCATGTAAAAAAGGTAGCCTGGTGATTTGCAGTATAGACATGTAAACACAGCTATCAGTGTATCCAAAATCTTTTCTATCCTTATCATTTGTGTGAGTTTTATGTGTGCTTTGAACAGACAGTGCAGTTCAGTACATGCTATTCTGCAAAAAAGGTTTCTTCTATAAGATAAACAATATAAGACAAAGTTTCAGGAAAGTTCAGAAAAAAATAAAACCTAGCTGAGTCAAAAAAAGTTTGGTCCTCTAAGGTAAGTGGTTCTACAGAAGAGAGGGATTGAAGTCCTTCAGCTTGTTGTTTTCTATAACATGAGCAGACCTACCATAACTATGATTTGCAGAATTATTAATGCACTTACTAACCAGATTTTAAAAGGTTTCAAATGACAACGTAAGCACCAAATAAAATGAGCTTTCAGTATTCATTAAAACAACGTGGAAGACCAATCTGATCACATGAATTGTAGTTGCTTGTTGAGAAGCTATTTATTCTGCAATACCCAATTGTTTACAAACAAGATACCTTGTTATTCCTCTGAGCAGGCAACAGTACTGAAAAGTAACTACATAGTATGGCAAGATGTCCTTTCATCTTGCTTAAAATCTGAAACAAGAGTTCTGTTCAGAGAAAATCTCAGAGCAAATGCTCTTATAAATTTTAGCTTTGTATTAGATCATAGACACTGATCACAAGACACCAGCTAATCTGAATACTGCAGTATGAGCTAGCAAATTCAAATGGTGGCTCACTTCCAATAACACAGGGAGCAATTTCTCCATTCTGCAAGCCACTCCTTTTACCTCCTCCACTGTACCTCCCTAGGAGAGGAAAGTAAAGGTATGCAAGCCTACAAATTTTAACATCATCAAGTCTCCTGGACAAATACTTTAAAAAAAATGAGTGAAGTGCTTAAATAAGTGCACTAAACAATTTATACAGAATTTCAGTATGACAGCAAAAACGACCAGAGACTTTTAAGTGATAGTACTGCTCTTAAGAGGGATACCATGGAGCACCATAGTGCTCATCTTAACAAGCAGGCAGGGACAAGCTAAGTGAGCACTGAAATCACTAAGCAAGAGGGTAAGTCAACTTTGCCAGCTGACTTATCTTAAACAAACAATATACCTTAATATCACTTATAAAACTAACTTCAAGCCATACAAATGAAATACTTCTAAAATAAACATCACACTAAAAATGATCCCAAGAAACAACACGATAAACTTCATGCTTACCTTTTACAAGTTGTGGCCATTCGGTGACATCAGGGTGATCACAATTTTGAGTCACTGATTAAAAATGAGTTGTCACACCAGTCCTGTATCACGCTGGGCTAAGCATAAGCTTAACAACTCTAAGGAAGTAAATTTAGTTAAAAGTCCTTAGAAATTATTTTCAGCCAGTCCACTAAAAAACCATAAAACAGAAGAAAAATGTTGATGCTAAGCACTATTTTATCTGCAAGATTAAGACCTCCTCCACAAAAGTTAGTTCAATTTTGAATGGCATTCTAAGACTTCTAGAGTAACTCACTATGGTACTTTCAACTGGTGAGCTTGAAAATTCATCAACTTATTTTTAGCCTCTCTAAAAAACCAAACCCAATACCCATCTCTTGGATCAGTGGAAAGCACCCGAGGTCAAGACAACAAGCATTCAAAGATTTGGAAGCATGTGCATAAATATGAAGTGTAATTTCTAACTACAATAACATTTCTTTACTTGTTTCCCTGCTACAACTCAATTAATACTGGTTCCTAACAAGGCTCTGTGTTCCCAGGGGGAGCAACATGTAACTTGCTCTTTGCTGTGTGCCTCTCCCCAAAATGAAGTAAGCTGAAGTTATGTAAAAGTTTCAGAGGAGCAACCTTTGCTATCTGTGGCCAACCTTTTAGGTTCTTTGCTCCATTTATACCGCATGTACTCTCTCCTCTCCCTTAAATTTTCAAAAGTGTATTTTACCTGTCAATTGTTTCCCGTGATCTGGCTCCACCGGTATAAATTGAAGGGTTGGTCCTTTACTTTGTCACGCAGGTGGCAGCCAATGATCACTCAGCAATACTCGTGCCCAGAGCGCCCTGGGACCACCCCAGCTGATTACTTCCATGGCTGAAAAGGAACCAGTTAGTCTCTTACCTACTGCTATTATCTACTCTAAACTGAACTTAACTGATAAAATATTTCCAAACATAACCCTCAACACTCAATTCACCCCATTCTCTCTCCCACCCAAGCTCCTAGGTGCACTGGACAAAGACTGTAAAGAAAAAAGGCCTCTGATGGAGAGTCAGATCACAAACAGCATTATTCACTTTCTGTTAATACAAAGTTTTGATTAAAATTGAAATGTTATTACTGTGTTTAGTAAATAAAAAGTTATCTTAGTTTCTCTAAACAGCCGGTAGCTATGAAGACAGACCTCTGTACAGTATCTGAGAAGTTTACTCCTGTGGCTCTAAGCCAGATGAAACCTCACATTTGTAGGTTGCCATGCAGCAGAAGCCTCATACAGAAGCCAGGTGCACAAAGGCTAGCGAGCTACTGAGGGCACACCTGCAGCTCCCTGCAACACCCACAGCCATAACTACCTGGTGCAAATACTAAGAGAGCACATCAGAGAGCTTTAAATGTTTCAGTAAAGAAAACTTCTGTGCTTCAGTCCAATCTATTGCAAGAGCCTTTCAGTAAGGTCTTAGGTTTGATGAGCAATCAAGCATTCTCAATGCTAATTTGTATCTGTTGACTTGTCAGAGATATGACATCACTGATCAGTAAGCAAGGACCATGACTTTCTAAAGTTTGTCAGAAAAGCTGCTGACTTTTGCCATGCTACTACAATTTGCCATTCTGCTACAAACTCTGTAACAGAACAAAAATTTGCATTAATTTTAGAATGATGCTTACTAGTTTTATCAGGTATGTTCCTTGAGGTAGGAAAAGTGACATTTAATTATTTTAACATCAGTAATATTTGAGTCTTCTTATCTAAACACAAATGCAGTCCACATAAGGAAAGCAAAAAAGAAGCAGGCTACCAAAAACCTCCAAAACAAAACAGAGGTTCTCTAGTATCTATGTTTTACAGGTGTAAGTTGTCAAAGTTTAACTGAGTCAATGCTAGGAACATAGTACAATGAATAAAAGTCAGTTGGAAAGGTTCCTCATCTGTCAACTTTAAATGACAAACAGGGTAATGATTTTCAAATTAATGTTTGCTGATCAGCAGCTGTACAGAAAAGCAAACAGCAAAACCCAAGATGCTGAAGCAAAACTAAGAAACCTTAAAACACTGCTTATGGCATTCCGATTGTTTAAGACTTGACAATGTCCACTTTCAGGCAAGCCTCAGCTTTAAAGAAACAGATGCTTATTGTAAGGCAGTGCTTTCTTCAAAAGTTAAATCTACGTTCTTGCTGCTTTCTGAACTGATGTGAAATGGTTCTGTAAAAATGCATTTAGAAAGTAACACCACTTCTAGCATTTTGCCCAAGTAACTTTTAGTGTGTTGGTCAAAGAGGACAGTGGTGTTATCTCTAATGCCTTGTTGCTTGGAACACCCACATTCTGTCTGACTGCTAGAAGTACCAGCTCATGTCCTGGAGTTCACCAAATCAATCACTCCCTACCTATACTTGTGTCCTGTATCACCCAGACCATGGGCAAAAAATAATTACAGTAGTATTCCATTCAACCACAAGCATCTTAGAACAACAGGCTGACAGCAACCTTAGTGAAACAGGGTTTTCCTGAGGCTGTTTCTTATGGGAGGAGAGAAGTCATGAACACAATTGTCAATGGTGAAGGAACACATGAAGTGTTGGTGCTGGATTCAAAAACCATTAGATTTTGGAATGTTAAAGAATATGCACTGAAGTGGCAGCTCCACAATCATGGCCAAGACAAGTTTGTGCAGAGGCCTGACACAGATCCAATGCTGTTAGTCAGGTTTACCACACTACCGAACATAGTATCTACAGCAGCTCTGTGAAGTGAGGCAGTATCTGAACTGGTATGAATCTCACTGAGCTGAAGTTAACTCACATAAGTTTTGTAGTGAAATTTGTACCTACAAATTGAATTTATCATGGATCAGAGCTTTGAATCAGGTAGTTGCAGCATTTCTGATATGTTACAAGACACCTTAAAACTAGATATACTGTACTGGGGTCTAAAAATCTCATGCTACTTTTCAACAATCCAGATGCAAGAAATCTTAATGAATCATTTTTCCTTCTATTTCCTTCTCATCCTACCTTCACCACCTATCCTTGCTGCCACTCCTGTGGGACAGAATATGATTGGCAAGGATTCCCTAGCACAGATGAAAGAATTAATTTTTCTAAAACCTTACTCATCCATGCATCAGCAGAGTACTGTCTGCTGGCAAAGAGACCAACATGTTGAAACATGTGGTGGGTGGTGAAGGAGACTGCCATCAAAGACCCCTTATTCTGAATCTAGTTTGAACAAAGGACATTGACTGCTGGATCCAAACAAGACAGAAAATAAACTTGGTAAGAGAGTCAAAGGACACTACTTGATCAGGAAAGGGAAGCCACACTGATGAATACACTAACATCTTGGAAAAGGGCATTTTGAAGAATAGGAAACTGACCTAGACCAACTGCTTTTCTGTCACAGGAATTCTTTTACAAAAAAACCTCTCTGGATGTAACTTACCTTTTAGAGGGTAGGAAGAGCAGCCCCAGAGCAGATATTTATTCTTATTACTCAAACAGATTTCTCTGGTCTTCACTGTCATGATTAGCATGGATTACAGTTTAGGCTTTGAGACACACAGAGCAGCTGAAGGTATCAAACGAAGTTTGTGCCTGTGGAGTATGTCCAAGAAATCTGAGATGGCTGCTAGGCTCTTTGGGACTGGGCAGGCTCCAGTACAGACACATCTCTATCTGCCTAGTGACTATTTACAAGAGGTAGATTCAACCAGGACTGCAACAACTATTATAATTAGCAAGGCAATACACAAGATCCATGCCTTCAAACCATATATCTGAAGAAGCTTGTGTGGCTTGGAGTAGCCCTCATTGAGAGGGAACAGAATAAATAATGTTTATGCAGTAGTTTGAGAGAACACACATTTCTCCAAAGTGGCAAAGGTGCCGATTTTCTGAAAAGAATGTTCCTATCAACTCAAAAAGAGGGAGGAAGTAAATAATAAATGAGTGAAAGAGCAAGAAGTCAGAAACTAAGTTCAGATGCATCAAAAGGGGCTAAAAGCAACTTGCTGCATAGCCTGATGAGATCTTCTCTTTGCATATTTCATTTAAATCTTTAAAGTCTGGAATCACAAACATGAACCGAGAAGAGGTCCCTAGCTTCAACATACAGAATCTAAAGCCACACCACGGAGAACCCAAGTACCTATTTGTCAGCAATCAAAAACAAAGCCAAAAACTTCCAGCTACAAATCACTTAATTGAAAGTTTTCACTTGCATGGATTTCCTATACCTATTACTTTCCCTGTGTTATTTGATGTTCGTTTTCTGTGACAACACAGCAATCTGGCAGCTGACACCCAGTATCTGAGGTCTAGAAAGATCCCTGAGAGGAGGAACACTTTTCTTATTTAAACTATAACTTCTTATTAACCTTACTGAAGGACGGGTGCCCTGGGAGGTGGCATTTGTAGGAATTTAAGTTTCCTTTACAGAAGCATTCTTAGTATCCACCCAAGCAATCTTTGATCCAAGTATTTTTAAGATGCTCTTTTTGACAGATGATCTAATGAAAATGGGGGTGATTCACCTGTACAAAGAAGTACCACGATCTTCCTTACCTTCCAGTGCCAGAATTTTAGTTGCTCAATTAAAAATAACCATCTCTCTCAAGAAGATACCACTAAAGACAGCTTTTTTTATGTTTTCTGAAGAATCCCTCTGAATCCCCCAAGAATAAATGATACATTTCCAGAATGACTTTGAGTACCATGATGAAAACCGACAGTCATCACCTATACAGTAAAAGGTGCCCACAGAATACACTAGCTAGCTTACTATTTCAAAAAAGGAACTGACAACTGATAGGAAAGCTGGCCTTTTAGAACTTAAGATTGATTCAAGTGTCCTGGAAGAAATTGTAGAATGTTCACCAAATCCCTAAGTTCAATGTTAACTGTCACTTGCAGGAAAAAAAAAAGTAATAGGCAAGTTTGAGACTTAATTTCTTGATAATGTTGGAAACATCAATTACTTTTGTTGCTCGCATGCTGCTTCCAACATAGCAAACATGAAAAGACATAAGATTCTAGAAGTTTTCTTCATGCAACTAATAGCAGGTCAAATTATCAATGATCCTAAAGTAAAATAAAACAGCCACTAAAAAAAAACCTGATCACATAAATCCTAATGGAGCTGCAAAAAACCAGTGGTAAGGCATCTATACAAATTTTTTTCCACTGCCTGGTAAACAAAACCATTCAACTAATAACAACAAATACAAAATCACATAGTTAGAAGAGCAAAAGAATTTGGTTCTATCCTGGAAAATGTCAACCTGAAGTCACAACTGACGAGCAAACATACACATGCTCCCAGTATTATGGCTAGAGTGACAGATAGGACTCATGGAGGGTTCCTGGAAAGGTGTCTGTTCATCTGCACAAAGTATTTCAGACTTGTTCAAAACTTGAGCCCAGTTCTCCAAATATTCAATATTCTCCAGAAGTGTTCCAGAAGTAGCAGAAAACAGCCACAAAGACATCATGAAGATAGGAGAAACTGCCTTGTGATTACATAACGGAAAGAGTTCAAAGTTAATCAAGCTAATCAATATGGCTACTGGAAGAAATTAAGTCCTCTCATAGCACAGAAAGAATACATAAAAAAGATCTTCCAATTAAAAGAAAGCATATAAAACCTCCACATCAATAGAAACTTAAGGTTGACAAATTCAAATTAGAGTAGGAACACAAGCATGCAGGATAGCAAGGACAATTAACACTTGAATAAATTATTTGGGGTGGGGATCTGAATTTGCTACTATCCTCAAATTAAAGTTGGTGCCATTCTGGAATTTACACTTCAGTGAAAACACAAGTTACTGAGTTAAATAAAGGTAGAATTTGGTGCATCTCTATATTGAGAGATCGACTAGAGAGTTACATAAATGCTTCATCCTATAATATCTGTACACTTACTTTGCCTTGATGTCAATACTCCACAAATCACATAGCAACAGAAAAAGGTCTAGTGTTTACTCCCATCCCCCCACCCCAAAGCTAAAGGCCTGTGTGTTATTCTCATTTTCTACAACTGTCCCCGCAACTCTGTACCCTAGATTTTCCCTTCAACATTTGTTTTTGGTTTGATATTTCAGTAAGATCATAGATGTACTTTATTCATCTTTGTAAAAGAGGGAAAGACCTGAAATTAGTGTCTGTATTTTTCACTTGGACCACAGCTGATATTTCTTCCACTATACATACTCATTTTTTTGCAGCAGAACCATTTGTTTCTATCTCAGTTACGCCTGCAACTTCAGGCTCTCTCCAAAGTGATATACAGTTATGAATGGAAAGCCCCACCTACATCAGGAGGTGAAATCCAATAGTCTATTTAAATTTCTTTTAGTAGCTCTCCTTTTACTATTTAAATTTCTTTTAGTAGCTCTCCTTTTACTGGCTAAGTATCAGGTTAAGTTATTTTCCAAACAGGTAAGTTTTACAGCTTCACTTCAGCTTTAATATTTAAACTTTTATTCTACCTGTCCTTTTGCTTATGCTTTGTTATTTTGCTACCTGTCTTTCATGCAGCCTTCCATGTAAAGCACCTTTCTGTTCCCCAAGTTCTTCAGTGTCACCAGCATGTTTGTTTATATATAGTTATATATTAAGACCAAGCAATCATGCAATTCTGTAGCATAACATTCAGCTTTTCTGATGTTCCATTAGTATTCATTACCCACAAGTTGTGGGGGATTAGATGGGAATTCTTCATCCATTTATGAAGCGCATACCATTACAAAGACTCTACGCATATACAGTGGCAAGCAGTTCAGAAAAAAGCAGCCAGCAGAAATAACAGCAAGAAAGAAATAATGTCTTAGGTTTGAAGAAGAGCCATCATACACACAACTGGTATTGAACTGGAGAGCAAGAAGCAGGTGGGTGGTCCCAGTGGTGCTGTGGGTGCAAAAATGAATATACACTACCTGCCAGATGCCTGCTAGAGTAAAGGACCAATCTATACAATTCTCTCAGGAACATCTGGATTGTGATAATGTAACATTATAGCTTTTTAAGAGATTTACAGTTTTTAATTAGCATACACTATATTTAAAGTTTCAGCTTAGAATTAATAATTTTAGCTCCTGTCTATAGCTTCCTATGAAACAGAACTTAAAGAAAAAAAAAAAGAGACACCCAACAACCCTTCTGCAAGGTTGAGATTTCAAAACTTTAAGTATGTTCCTATGTTAAATTATCTTCGAAATAAAAATCTAGATGTAAACCCATGGCATATAAAACTTCTATCAGCAGTTACCGAGTTCTTCCCCACAATTTAAGCTGTTAAAGTACACACATAGCTTAGAAGCAGTTGTTGCAGTAATAACGTACAATTTTATATATGCATTAACAGACCTATTTAATTCAGTAGAAAAATGAACTTAAAACAAGAATTGCTTTTCTGAATGCAGCAATGCAAAAAGTTTCAAAAATTCTCTTTGTACCAAGTTGCAGAACTACAGAACTTAAGAGACACTACAGAGTGGTGCACTTACTCCATGCTAGCAGGTATCTCCACAGGACTACACCAGAATAAAGTTAGAAAACAGAAATTAAAATAACTACAAGTTAAGGTTCCAACCTTGCTGTAATACATGTACATATTTTTAAGCTGGCTGGACATTTAAGAGCCTAGACAAAAAGAGATACCATGTGCCACTGGCTCACATTAACACTGCTAATGAAGGTTACGTTTCTGTATTTCCTAACATTCCAACTTGCAAATTTGACTTACACTGATCTTTGCTTAAGTTCTCCAGTAGTTCTGAACTTATTTTTCAAGTCATACGTAAAAACTGTACAAGCCTCACTATAAATATGCTCAGCAGCAAGGAAAAAAACCCAAACATTCAGAAACAGCACCAATTCATATCCAGTCCATGGAGAAATAGATGGATGGTAGCAGCATGATGCTGAGCTTGTAAAACAAATTAAAAGGGAATTCATCAATGTTGTATCATCAGTATTCATTTTCTCCAAGAAAAATCAAGTAACTCGGTTATCTAGAGAACTATACCTAAGTAACAGACATCACAGTCGAAAAAACATGGGAAAAATGAATGTGTGTGTTTCTTCTTGAATTTGTTTTCAACTTTTTTTTTTTAAATCAGGGAACAAAACTATAATTATTTGTTATTATAATTCTTAGCATACACACAACATAAGTGAAAACATAAACATACCATATCTTTCCAGAGCTGCCGGAACTTGTTCTTTCAAATTCTAAAATGGACTTCTACAGTTCTTGTACCTATAATGCAAAACATTACGTTTCAGTTTTTGTACTATGCTCCATACCAATCTGAAGCTCAATACAACTTCAAAACGATACATTCAAGAATGGCCTTTCTATTACTCACAAGTTTGCAACTCAAGGAAAACATATACCTAGAATCATAGAATATCTCAAGTTGTAAGGGACCCATAAGGACCATCAAGTCCAACTCCCTGCTCCTCGCAGGACTACCTAAAACTAGATCATATGACTTCCCAAACTAAATCATACTTCCCATAAAAACCACAACAGAAAATACTTAGTATGTTAGGGAAACTACAAAAGCAGAAAGTCCATACACACAACGTTCCCTATTCTTTCCTCTGTAGTGATGCAATAGAGTTTTACAATTCCATTCATCCAGTTCATTACAAATATCCATTTCCTTCCTCTGGAAGATTCTGGCAAGGTTTCTCCTCCCCCCCCCCCCCCCCCCCCCCCCCCTTTTTTTTTTTAAGAATTGGTATTTACAATAAGAAAAAAAAAAACCCAAACCAACACTCAAAAGAAGTCACAGATAGAACTGCATCTTTGTCCTGGCTGCACAAAACTGCTGGAGTTTGGTAAGCTTTTCTACAAATGGTTCATTTTCAGGGAAGCCGTAATTAACAAGGGACACATGACTAAAACATACTCCAAACATTTTCAACAAACACCTAAAAGCACAAACAATTTCAGGGGAAAAAGTGACAGAAACAGGCATATATATAACTAAAGAAATCTAGTAATTACTTTCCAGACAGTTACTCATTTGGCACAGAGTATCACATTTTCAGTACTGTGAAGATTTAATATTTAATTTCTTGGTTCTGAAACTCTATTAAGAACAATCAAATCCAATGCAGCTGATTTAGGCTTATCTCCGATATAGATCAGAGTTCCCACGGAGGAAATCCTGATCTGGTTACCTTCAGAGTACATTCAGGTTTGTCTTAAAAGATGTCAAACCACAGAGCTCCCATCCACTCCATACCAACAGCAGAAATCCAGAATATTTATCTTATATTCTATTAAAGGATAATTCTTCATTCACAGTGATGCCATTAGGTGAACTCAATTAAAGTATTCTGACAAATGTGACCAGTATTTTCACACCTTGTATCACAGGACTTCCAGCTTAAACTCCAATGTATATATTTGTTCATGTACACGCAAAGAGCAATGTCACCTATATAAAATTCAGTCACTCTCCTCTAAGGTACAAAAGCACCAGCCTTCAGTGTGCACAGAGTATAAGCAGAGGACAAAGCACAGCATGAAAATGTATCACAAATACATCTATCAGGGATTTATGATTATTGCCCAGCAATAGGAGAAAAGAAAACAAAGGTTCCCAACATAACTGAAGCTATGTAGGTTAAGACAGTACAATTTATGGAAGAAATAAGACCACAGCTGAGGAGATGGAGACAGGGGATTTGCTTAATAACACGTAGCCAACAGCAGAAGAGTAAGTAATTCCAACAGCACAAAACTGAAGCTCCTGGACTTCCAGTTCTCTTTCCTCAATCTCCCCCCACCAGCTACCACCAAGGCAGAGCAGGAGTTCAGCAGTCTACTAAAAAATTTTGGTCAAAGGCTACATGACCACCAACAAAATGAAACACAGAATCTGTAATGCTTGTCTAAAAGGAATGAAAATAATTTAATGAAGTCAGATGTGCTCTGACATCCACCTTTAGTATTTTTATTAACTAGCATTAAGCCACACCTACCTAAAAAAATGCAAACGACAAATGTGACTAAAAGCATGGCTAACAGTATTGCTTCCACTCAACATAAAGAAATCTTGATCTGTCACATGACCAGAGCCAAAAGAGCTGCTTGTTTACAACTGTCACACATTTTCAATAACAAAAAGAGACTTCAGGGCACACTGAATGATATTAACAAAGATGGTAAGCCACTGAATTAACCAAACTGTAGAATACAGAACTGCAAAATACTTAAGAAATGAACTATAAATTATAAAAAATACTTTGCAACTCATGTCTGGCTTGATGAAAGACATCACGAAATCACCTCCATCATGTGCTTAAACAATGTTTTCCACTTTTTTTTTTTTTGCAATAACTGCCACGAGACAGGAGCGGAAGAAAGAATTCGGAGAGCACTACTCTAAAGAACATGGTAGGTATTTTACCTAGTATTATAGATGCTCTCACACAATTTCAAATATATAAGTTAAAATAAGAATAATTTTCTTCCACAGCTGACATTCTTACTATAACAACATTAGCCAAATAAAAAACAAGTATTCACAAACATCCTTCTTTCAATAAGATATTCAGGTCATAGGAACCATGCAAGTGGAGTATTTATCACCACCTTACAACATAAAGGGCTCAACCTTTGCAACCAAAAAATACCAGTATTTCACAGAAGCGATACACTCTCTTAAGACCTCCTATGTCCTTGAACTCTGATGGGACTTGCAGGTTGTGTGGACTGTATGGGTGTATTTCTATGGTCCACAACAGGCAAGTTTTGCTACAACAGCTGAAACACATCTACGTGCTGCTACTACAGCCAGTGTATGCTAGCATACCTGGGACTTTCTAAAAAATAAAATAGGGTATATACACATATTAAACCACAATATTCATCACCAAGACTTTGGACATGAGATTTCACTATGAAATAAAAAGTAATTATCATCTGAATACGGCTATACAAATATAAAAGGTAAAAACATCATATTGGAAATAGAAATTCTGAAGTAGCAATAGACCTCTTCAGTATTATCTAGCTTTGTAAAAGTTTTTGATACCTTCTAAGAAAATGAAAAATACTGTACTGTAAAATCAAAATATTTTAAGCATTAATCGGCTCAAACACATGACTAACCATAATGCAAAAGAAAAACTCATCTACAACTATGGCAGTGTTTCCTGAGGTATTTTGACTGGCAGCCCATTTTAGAAGTTCAGCTCCTTTAAGAGCCATTCAACTACCCTCTAACACTGCAAGCCTGCTGAACTGCAGCTGCTCCAACCTGGGTCCCACAGAGCATACCAGGGCAGGAGTACACAAGTAATACCAGAGCCCGGCTGCCTGGACAAGTCTGGCATCTCTCACACTGCACGAGCTTGGCAACACATTAGAGACAGCTCTTGTGCCTCCCCTGCGTGCAGCTCCTAAAGGTAAGGGAGAGGGGGTGTTTATTTGTCACTCTAATCTCCTCATTTCACCAATTTCTTTGGTGTAATGATTATCAAGGAAGTATCAACAAGTCCAAAAAGAAGGCCACCAAAGGGAGCAAGAGTGTGGTCTCCTCTGCAAAGGAGATATGAAGAACTACCTTCACCCCTAGAACTCTAGTTCAGTCAAGACAGAAGTCCTGCCACAGTCCTCACAGGACCCCAGAAAGAAAAGCAAGCCATGTGGACTAATTGCTGCCAGAGAGTTATGCAACAACCACCAAACCCAAATGCAGGTTCCATGATTTTCTGCTTATGATCCCATTGGTTGATGCAAGGCCCACCAAGACCAAATTTCCATTGGGTTTCAAACTGAGATGTTGTACCTTACAGTTTTTGATACACTTTAATTTTGTCTTATTTAGTTACTTAGGTCACAGCTTTGAAATTATGTCACACAAGGATTGAACATGAAGGCACATGGAGGGCAGGGAGGTGATTGGAGACAGCCAGCATGGCTTCACCAAGGGCAAGTCTTGCTTGACCAACCTAGTAGCCTTCTGTGATGGAGTGACTACATCAGTAGACAAGGGAAGAGCTATGGATGTCATCTACCTGGACTTCTGTAAGGCCTTTGACATGGTCACCTACAACATCCTTCTCTAAATTGGACTAGATATGGATTTGATAGGTGGACTGTTCAGTAGATGAGGAATTGGTTGGATGGTCGCATCCAGAGGGTAGTGGTCAACAGCTCAACGGGTCAGGGCAATCCTAAGCACAAATACAGGCTGGGGGATGGGTAGATTGAGAGCAGCCCTGCAGAGAAGGACTTGGGGGTACTGGTGGATGAAAAGCTGGACACGAGCTGGCAATGTGCACTTGCAGCCCAGAAGGCCAACCGTATCCTGGGTTGCATCAAAAGTGGCATGACCAGCAGGTTGAGGGAGGGGATTCTCCCCCTCTACTCTGCTCTGGTGAGACCCCACCTGCAGTACTGCATCCAGCTCTGGGGTCCTCAGTACAGGAAAGACAGGAACCTGTTGGAGCAGGTCCAGAGGTGGGCCACAAAAATAATCAGAGGGATGGAACACCTGCCCTATGAAGAAAGGCTGACAGACTTGGGATTGTTCAGCCTGGAGAAGAGAAGGCTCCAGCAAGACCTTATTGCAGCCTTTCAATACTTAAAGAGGGCCTATAAGAAAGATGGGGAAAAACTTTTTAGTAGGGCCTGTTGTGACAGGACAAAGGGCAATGGTTTTAAACTAAAAGAAGGTAGATTTAGACAGATACAAGGAAGAAATTTTTTGCAATGAGGGTGGTGAAACACTGGAACAGGTTGCCCAGATTGGTGGTAGATACCCCATCCCTGGAAGCATTTAAGGCCAGGTTGGATGGGGCTTTGAGCAACCTGATATAGTTGAAGATGTCCCTGCTTATTACAGGAGGGTTGGACTAGATGACCTTTAAAGGTCCCTTCCAACCCAAACCATTCTGTGATTTTATGGAAAAAAAAAAGCGCCCTCCGTATCAAGCAGCCAACTGGTACATCAGTTCAAGTTTGTGCTAAACCACCACTGCTGTAATTCACCCCTAGGACAGTCCCACTGTTGACATACTACACAAGATAAGCACGATTCTCAAAGGTAAAATATGTGAACATAGAGCATGTTTTTAAAGCTATCTGGATGGATGCAAACAGTAATGCTTTTTGATGAAAAGTCTTGAAGAGCTACATACTGTGAACATCCTTTTCAAGCCATCAAAAAAAAAAAAGTCTCTAAACCTCTGCTTCACTAACTAGAAGTTTCTCTTAAAACACATATAACTCTGTTCTAAGGAAACGCCTTCAAAAGAAGCAGGTCACCCCTCTTACCTAAGACAGTGAAGTGAGGGTCCAAAGGGAAGCCACCCATTTAGTTCCACTCAGCTGAACAACTGCAGCTTCTCCTAATTCTTCACCACTCTGTAAAACATGGGTAAAGAACCATGCAGGATGGTAACAGAAAGAGTATCGGTAAAGACTGACTTCCACCCCCTTCCTCCATTCAGCAGTTTGCATAATACAGGGAAGCAGGCTCAACCTATTAAAAGTAAGAAGTAGTTAATGCTTCCTTTAAGAGACTCATTCATAAGAGTATTTGTGAGACAGAACACTATTGTAATACTTAATTTATAATGTAATTTTGCAACCAGTAAGTTATTCTGTCAGTAAGTTCTGTCACTCCTAGCCACAAGAAAGTGGAACTATTCAAAAACAGCAATTTAAAGTGCTATTAGGCCACGTGTTATCAAGCATGAATCCTGGATCGCAACATTATTTGATTTTACCTTTTTTCTATTTCTCTTATGAGGTTATTTTCCTGAAGAAATGTCTCACCAGCTGGTATAGCTACCGAACTGTTGCTTTGTTACAAAATATTACCTTTACAATGTATTTGCTTACTTTCTGCTAACCAACCAGATATATTACACACATTACTATTCATATGAATCAGGTTTTTTTCCCAAACTTTTTTTCATGGGCAATACAGCCTTACGAGGTTGTCAGGCACTGCCTATAAATACATGAAATTAATGCAGTAAATGTTAAAATATTTAAGGTGACAGAAGTCACTTCAAACATGTGATGTGCTCATTGCTGCTGTCTGTGGGAACCAACTATTTAGCAAAGCTTACAGCACCCTCCGGGGGGAGAGGGGGGGGGGCAGGGAGGAGGAGGTTATTTTTTTAAAAAGTAAACATCATATTCTAAATTATTTGTTACAGACTATGACAGCAAATGTATTACCCCTCTCCTTCCATGTACAAATCAGAATTTGGGTAGTGACAGAAAACCTTTCAACATTGCTCCTCTATAAACTCATAGCTATCTTAAATATACTGGATACTTCAGAAAAAGTGTAAAACGTACCTCCTCTGTTTAAAACTCAGTATCAATTCACTAACTAAAATGAAGTAAAGACCTGGCCCACAGTACTAGAAAAAGTTTGACACTGGAAATGAGATATATGCCTACATACTTTAGGAATTCTCTCCCCTTGTCCCTCAATTGCATGTTCTATTTTTAAGAATTAGGGGCTTTTATCTTCCAGTGTATGACTACACTGGTGTGGGGAGGGCGAAAGACATTTCCTGCATTTAAAAAACAGATGAATTTTCTCTGGACGTTCACTAAGTAAACTGAAACCAAAAGTAGCAGAGGAAAAAAAAAAGTATAGTACATATATATATATAAAAAAATCCTGCATAGAAAATCTAAGATGATGCATATTTACAGAAATGTAAACACTAAATTCGTTCCATGATAAGTGTCATATAACATACTACACTAATCATTGTTTATACAAAATGTTATATGCTTAAACATGCTCACAATTAAACAAGTTTATAACTATTACAACTTGACTCAAAGATACTCCCCCCCCAGTTATGTATTTGGTTAAGTAGAACCTGTGAATTCAGAGAACTAGTGAAGAACACATCAACAAA